CGTTGCCAAGGAATACAATTTTTGCCGTGCATTGAAATTACTGGTCCACCGCCTTCACCACAGATCCGCTTTGTTCCTTGCTGGAAACCTTCTTGGCTCCCTCCCTGGATCCCTGACTCCCAGCTAGTTCAGAGTTCACAACTCACACCCCCAAAAAGCTCTCCTCCCTTGAAATCTTTTCCCATTCATGGGGTCAACGGTTCCGACTCGTGATCTCCCAGCCAGCTCCCGCTTCGGTGGCTGGCCCACTTTTAAGTTTTTTAAGTATATGTATTCAGTGTTGTTGAATCCATTCCCCACACCCCCCACTAACAACACACATTTTTTGGGCCACGTTGACAACACTGTTTACCTAATGTACCGTTAAGCTGCGCACTTGATGCCGTTATCTTCCGCTCGCCTTTGTTCCTTTGCCGTCAGCATGGAAATTATTTTCTTAATTTGAGGGCAACAGCGAAAAGTTTTTCGCCTTTGACTTTAAAGTGCTTAAAATTGTTTCGCTAAATGTGGCTTATTTTACAAGGACCAAGGCTATTATCGGAGAATTGTAAGGGCTTTAAAAAGGATTTATTTTTCAATATGATTTGAATTTTAGATTAGTTATTAATTAAGAAGAATTATCCAAGGCAAAGAAAATGGTTTCAAAGCAAACCATTACCTAAAACTCTTTACACTTATATATTAAATATAAACCCAATTGAAGCTTATTTCTATATGGAACATGCATGCCAGCATCAAATTTAAACTGTACAAACTGAACTGAACTTTGGCAGTTTGTAAAAAGTTTTTTCATTTGCCAGCGAAAACAACAATAACCAACAACGTAATGGCATTGAGCATGAAATCATAATAATAATAATAATAATAATAACCGAACGAAACAAAAGCGAAAAAGTTGTAAACTTTGTTACTACTACTGTGCGCTGGCTGTTTATGATGTCCCGGGGCTTATTTAATCGATAATGCCGAATGATGTCCTGAGACATAAGGCGCAGTAACCCAACTGTGCTTACCTGAGGAAAGAATTTCCACCTTGGCCAGAAGAGAGGGGGAAGACCTTGAGCAGGAGCAGCAGTAGCAAAGGGATTTCATTGCCGTCACTGAGGCCGAGCTTCACACGCATGCCACGCCTAATGCAGCCGCCGACCAACCCCTTTTTGCAGGTTAAGGTCACCAGGAAAAGCCGCAGCAGCGGCAGCAGCAGCAACGTTTGCCGCAATTTTATGCTGCAGACATCTGCATTAACAATGGCAATGAAATGCAGGCAGGACGGCGCAGGGCCAGCCAGGACATAGCCGAGCAGGAGCAGCCTCCGACCGTGACGTTTAGCCGTAAACGGATTTATAGCAGCTGCTACTGCAGCTTTCGCCTTGGAAGTGGGCGCCATTTCAAGGGCACATTCTTCTCTCTCTCTGTCTGTACACTCGTTTATGTTGTCATTATTTTTAATCCAACATATTCCCTCAGCTATGCGGAGAATTAGCGCAGAAGGCATTCATTCCGCCTTAAATGCCGGCAATTTGTGTGCCACTAAAGCAAGCGGTGTAGGAGTGGGAAGAAAAAAACTACAAAAAGCTGCCGGCACAAAGGCATTTTTTTGGCCTGACATGCCACTATTGAGTGGTCCTCGAGATAAATATCGCTTGGCTCGGTCTAAAAAGACTTATTCAATGTCAGTACCCGGGATTGAAGGTCAATAGCAGCAGCGCGAAAATATCTGCATTGGCAATATGCAAATTCATGTGAAGGCAACAAGGTTAACTTTGTGAAACTCCCAGGCAGGACGAGTCCTAAAAAGGACACCCAAAATGACGAGATATATAGATTAAAAGCAGACTAACTACTCGCTTGGCAATGCTGATGGAGGATAAATGTATTTAGATTATAGATTTAAAAAAAAACTCTTTCAAACTTCTGCACAAAATTATAGTGAGTCGTAGGGCACTTTTTTATATTTATATAAGAAATTAATTAAATAAAATAGATGTATATTTTTATTCTACTTTTAAACCTTACGATGCCAAGCTTTACATGGCTTCAATACTCAGTTACATGATTTCTTTGCGTTTGTTACAGAAACTTTTACAATACATATTTGACTCAACGCGCTCTTGCCATGAGTTCCATACACAGTCTTACAGATACTTGGGTAAATTTATGTACAACAATTTGTAAAGCAGCATGTCAAAAAATGTCTTCCTTAGCGTAAAGTCTGGTAGCGCCGGGATAACCGTAAGCGCAATATTTAAAAACTAAATTAAACGAATTTTTAAATTTTCTTCAATTTAAACTTCAAACTTTCTTCCTTGCAGGGTATTATAATTGTAGTCTGAGCGTTTTAACGCTGTGAAGAAGTCATTTCCGACCCAGAACTTATATATATTCCTGATCATCATCGACAGCCAAGTCGATCTAGCTACATATTTCTGGATTAATTTTTATTTTTTAGATTTTTGTAAAAAAAAAAATGGTAAGGGGTTACATCGTTAAAATTTGTAAAAATCTACATAAATTTTAATTGTTAAAAATTTTTAATTGAGTATGCAGATTTATTACCCTAATAAAGCATAGTATAAGAAAGGTATCCGAATTGAAACTAATTCGTTCTTGGCTTGGTTATAAGATTGTAAAAATTTATAATGGCTGTATATTAAACTTAATGAAAATCTGTTGAAAACTGAAAAGGTTATCATTTTTTTTCTTAAAATTTTCCGATCGTTCCTATGGCAGCTATATATGCATATATATAGTCGACCGATTCGACTTATATACTAGTAAAATTTTACAGACGAATAACACCATAGTTTCATTCAAATAGACTAAATTTGCTCTAAAACAAATCTCGCACATATGTGCATATAATTCCCAACTGGTTCAAACATCCCCGGAACGAAGTGACTGCTGCCAGCCAAGTCTCAGAGAAGTGATGTGTTACAAAAGTTGCAAGTCATTGTTTATTAGTGCTCATAGATACTTACTGGTCATTGATACTTACTGGCCATAGTTACTAAATGTTGAAACTTACTAATCAGAGTTACTTACTGATCATCATAACTTACTAATCAGAGTTAATTACTTATCGTAGTTACTTGCTGTTCATTGATACTTACTAATCAGAGTTAATTACTGATCATAGTTACTTACTGGTCATAGCTACTTACTGGTCATAGTTACTCAATGTTCATTGATACTTACTGATCAAAGTTCTATAAATCGTCCGATTGTGCCTATATCAGCTATATATATGTGTAATACTTTCCTCGCATTCACTCTCTCAAAAAAGTGCCCTCCTCTGCGCTTCTCAACCAGTGTACTTAAGCACCGTAGCAAACACAATTATTTTTGTTCTTCTTCTTGTTCCGTTTTAAAGTTTCTAGTTAAATTTGATATATATATAGTCCACCGATTCGCCATGCTCCGACTTTACAGAAATGTGTTGTGTTACAAAAGTTGCAAGTCATTGTTTTTTAGTGTTCATAAATACTTACTGGTCATTGATACTGACTGATCGTTGATACTTCCAGGTCAAAGTTACTCGCTGTTCATTGATACTTACTGGTCATAGATACTTCCTGGTCGAAGTTACTTGCTGTTCATTGATACTTACTAATCAGAGTTAATTACTGATCATAGTTACTTTCTGGTCATAGCTACTTACTGGTCATAGTTACTCAATGTTCATTGATACTTACTGATCATAGTTCTATAAATCGTCCGATTGTGCCTATATCAGCTATATATATGTGTAATACTTTCCTCGCATTCACTCTCTCAAAAAAGTGCCCTCCTCTGCGCTTCTCAACCAGTGTACTTAAGCACCGTAGCAAACACAATTATTTTTGTTCTTCTTCTTGTTCCGTTTTAAAGTTTCTAGTTAAATTTGACATATATATAGTCCACCGATTCGCCATGCTCCGACTTTACAGAAATGTGTTGTGTTACAAAAGTTGCAAGTCATTGTTTATTAGTGTTCATAGATACTTACTGGTCATTGATACTTACTGGCCATAGCTACTTAATGTTGAAACTTACTAGTCAGAGTTACTTACTGATCATCATAACTAACTAATCAGAGTTAATTACTTATCGTAGTTACTTATGGTCATTGATACTTACTGGTCATAAATACTTCCTTGTCAAAGTTACTTACTGTTCATTGATACTTACTAAGCATAGTTAATCACTTCTCATAGTTACTTTATGGTCATAGTTAATTAATGATCATAGTTACTTAATGTTCATTGATAGTTACTGATCATAGTTCTATAAATTGTTCGATCGTTCCAATGGCAGATATATATATGTACATATATGTATATATAGTCGACCGATTTGCCATGCCCCGAATTATATTATAGTAAGATTATATAGTCGAATAACTCCATAGTTTAATTAAAATAGCCTAAATTTGCTCCAAAACAAATCTCGCACTTCTGTGCATATAATCCCAACTTGTTCTAACATCCCCGGAACGAAGTGACTGCTACCGGCCAAGTCTCAGAGAAGTGTTGTGTTACAAAAGTTGCAAGTCATTGTTTATTAGTGTCCAGAGATACTTACTGGTCAAAGTTACTTATTGTTCATTGATATTTACTGATCGTAGCTAATGTTTGCTCATAGTTCTATACACTGAAATTAATTCTTTTTTAGCATTTTATACTTCCTTAATAGGATATATTTTATGTGTTCTTGGTGAATAATGGTGGAGGAAACATTTCCGACCCTATAAATCATAGATATATAATATTATATTATGTCAAAATTTAAATCAATTCCAGTATTTCAAATTCTATGTTTATGAAGCGAAAAACCTGTATTATAAGGGCTCTTATTCCTAACTGTATTTATTTCTCTTTAAATAAGACGGACTTATCTTCTCTATCTATCTGTCTATTATCTATCTCTTCTTATCAGTAAACGTTTCAATGAATGAGATTTCGTATCAACTTTTGTGTTTATTTCTTAAAGTAGCTGTTGCTTTATCTTGCTTATAAGTTAAACTGGCCTTAATAATGAATCCTGCTGTGTTTGTTTTGTATTGAATACAGAAGATAAGATAACAAAAAAATTATAAATTCGATTTCATTTGTATCAAAACTTCAGTACGAGTTTTTCTAGTGGTTAGTCACGTCGAGAACGTGAACGATGGCAGCACTACTAACGACCTACGATTCAGGGGATCGAATCTGGAGCGGTTCCAAACGCACTTTTACCTATACCGATGAGACGTCAATTGGCAAGATAATATTTACCAATATGAAGAACTGGCCCAACAACGTCAGCCAGGTGAGTCCAAATTAGGATGACTATGGACAATTAAAATAACACTAAGCCGAGACAGATAAATGATGAGGATGGAGGGACGGTCACCTTTAACGAGGCCATTACATGGGCCATTCGGGTTGCTCAGATTTTCAAAAAGAAAGGATTCCAGTATCCTGATGTTATTGGCCTCCCAGTGAGAAACTCAACATACGTCATGTCCGTTGCGGTGGCCTGTTATTTAAATGGAACACCCTTTCATGCGATCAATCCAGTAATGGACGAAGGTAAGAGTTTTCAAATCAATGTTATTCAATAAAAATTGCTTACAACTTCCTTTTGCAGCTACCATGACGCATGTTTTTTCTATAACCAAACCAAAAATAATATTTTGCGATGGACAGGATTACGAAAAGGTCCAAGCCGCAAGTAAGGAATGGCAACCGGATATTCTCACTGTCACTGACCCTATTAAAGGAGTGCCCCATATTCAAAGTCTTCTGGATCCCACGCCAACTGAAGCCTTCTACCAGTGAGTACAGAGTACAGAATTGCAGTCTGTTACCAGTTTTTGGTAACATCTCGAATCTCTACCTTTAGACCAGAGCCATTGAAGGAAGGAAGTCAACAGACGATGGCCATTCTATGCTCCTCGGGAACCACTGGCTTACCCAAGGCCGTCTGCATTTCCAACCGCTCTTTGCAGCACGATTTTCCGTGGGTTAATACAGAAACCAACTGTTTATGAAGATTTAAATTATTCTTTTGTTATTTTTTTTAGCATGTTGAACAGCGAATCGGTTGTGTTCTCTTTCAGTGGTCTCGATTGGAGCAGCGGCCTGATCACTTTTCTCATGGGAACGGTCATTGGTTGCACCCGCATCATAACCCAAAAAGCCTTTTCTCCAGATTACTTTGTGAGGCTCGTGGAGAAGTACAAGATCAACTCTGTCATTTTGGCGCCTCACCATATGTCAGCCCTGATCAATTATCCAGGAGCATCGAAAGAAGCCATGGCCTCACTTCGGTGCATAATCTATATCGGCGGATTCACCTCTATGACCACACTGAAAAGAGTTCAGGAGCTTTGTAGCAATGCGATGCTCATCAATGCCTATGGAATGACGGAGACAAGTAGTATAACTTTTAATATGGGACTCGAAGACGTTAACTCTGTCGGCAAGCCACTGCCAGGAGTTAGAATTCGCATCGTGGACGAGGATGGCAAGTCCCTGGGGTACAAAGAGGTGGGCGAGATTTACGTGCACAACGGTCGTCCATGGAAGGGGTACTTTGGCAATCCCGAGGAGACTCGCCGTATGCAGGACTCTGAAGGATGGTTCCACACCGGAGATCTGGGCTACTTCGATGAACAGAACCGGCTCTTTGTGGTGGACCGTAAAAAGGAAATGTGCAAGTATCAGGGATACCAGTATTTACCCTCTGAAATCGAGGGCGTTATATCCGAGCTGCCCCAGGTGGAGGAAGTTTGTGTCGTGAGCATTTACGATGAAGAGCAGGGAGACGCTGCAGGTGCTTTGGTGGTCAAGAGGCAAGGAGTTTCCATAACAGAGCAGGAAATCAAGGATCATGTGGCCAGGAGGCTACCCGCAATGCAGAAGCAGCTCCATGCCGGCGTCCAGTTTACCGATAAATTACCCATTAATTCAAATGGAAAAATATTCCGCAGAAAGGCGCAAGAAGAATTTTTAGCGAAAAAAAAGGCTTTAGAATAAAATAAACTATTGTATATAATTAGGAGGTATAATTATAAAATATAAAGCTTTATGAATTTTTAGAAAACGAAAAATGAAGTTAACTTTGTAATGCCAATGTTTGATTACCCTTGCAGTTTCGATCGATCATAGCTAAACCAAATATGCATTAATTTTAATTCGGAAAGCTGTTCTATGCTACTTTTTATTAGGCCAACAAATCTGTGTACTCAATTTTTAATTAAAAAAAAAAAACACCTTATAAAATTTTGAAATTTCGCGACCAATTTTTAAAGTTTATATTTCAACCGGAGATGGCTAGATCGACCTGGCAGTTGATGCTGATCAAGAATTTATATGAATTATAGGGCCCGAATTGACTCCTTTTTTGATCAACATGCTTCAATAAAAGTTATACATGACGTATACTTAACGTGAAAGCCCATAAATTAAGTATACGCCATGTGTGTCTTAAGCGATTCGAAAATAAGAGCGAATTGCAAACCGATCATAGCTAAAATAAAATAAATAAATACATATTTTTTAATAAAATGTTTGTGGTGAATCAAATTTAAAAAATCTCATAACTAAACAAATAAATCATTTATTTTAATCCGAAAACTGTGTTATGCTAGTTTTTGTTAGGTTAAAAAATCTTCATACTCAATTTTAAATTTAAAAAATACAATTTTTGAAAATGTTAGCGATGTAATTAACGCCTTATAAATTTTTGAAACTTTGAAAAATATTTAAAAAATTTATTTTTATATTGGACATGGTTTGATCAACGCGGTTTTTTACTAAAGAAGTGACAAAAAAATATTTCAATCAACTCCCCGTTTTATTGTAATTTTTAATCACCTCTTTAATTATTTTTATTCTTCAACTTTGTACATTTATTTCATCTTTTAATAAGTAATAATCGTGTTTAGATTTACATCTTACATTTTACATTTTACACTTTTACAGATCCATTTTACACGTTTACAGACCGACCACGAGCCAGCTGACTTTTGAGAGATACCATATGTTGGCGCGCGAAAATTCCCAAGTTTCGAGAAAATACCAGATATCAGCCAGGTATTTCGGTATTTTCCTCCCGCCAACATACGGTATCACCGCAAGATTTCTTGCGAACAACAATTTCTAAAATTGTTATTTAAAAGGCTGAGGCCTCCGCAAACAGTTAATTTAAATTGCGACTTGCAAAAGAACTTGTTGACTTGCTCTTTAGTGTAAGATCAGGCTATAGTAAAGTGTTACAGTGGTGAAATCAGTGATTACTCTGCATTTATTGCGACGCAGTTCCGAGTGGTAAGTGAGAAAACAGTTTCCAGTTGTACAATTTAATTCCGATTGCTAGAACGCAAATATACCTGCCCTGCATCAACGGCGGGTAAATAAATATTTAATTGTGGTGCTTGATCGACTGCGAGGCTTGTTTAACTCAGTTGCGTCATGCCTTTGTCTTATTTGCCGTTTAATTGCACTCCAGACGACATCTTTCTAGTCTCCGTGTTTCTCGTCTATTCTCATTTCGCTTCCCTATTCCTCTGTTGCGCTTCTTTGTTTAGCTGTTTACTGCCTGGTCTGCCTCTTCCCCTCTTCGCTGTGCTGACCCATTTTCTAGTCTTTGTTTGCTTTATCTCACCTGTTAGGCCGCCGTCCTATGCACATGAATCACCTTGGGGTTTCGAAATCCGTTTTAGCCCTCGAACTTGGCACGCTTTACGAGCGGCAATAATAAATAAATACATATATACCAATTTTTATCAAATGCCTCTCACGCTTCTCAAAATGGTGGCAAAAAATCAGCAACAAAATCAGTCAGACCAATATGGCAGACGGCGAGTTTTCGAAACTAACTGAAAAAAAAAGCAACACGAAAGCAATGCGAAAGTGGAATGGCCGATAAGATAAGGCACAGTTCATTCGAATTCGAAAACAACAAACTAAACAACAATATCTCAAAGCAAAGGCCGATATAAAATTATATTGTATGTACGAATATATACGCCCCCTAATTAGTCAAGCTGCAATTTAACCAAGTCTCTGTTTTTGGATAAGAAATCATTTTCCCATTTTTTAGTTGCCATTTTAGTTATTTATTTTATATGCCAATTTAATTATTAAAAATTTCCAAATAAATTTGTTCTTTGCATAAATATAAAGAAAGATACTTGATGTAACTTTAAACAATTTTTTAAACCATTTTCCTTGAAACTAAAATATAAAACGTTGAAGTTAACGAATTTAAAAAAAGCTTTGAATATTCTAGAACATATTTTATAAATAAAATTGATAAATAATAACGTTTTTAGGGGACCCAAGTTGTGATAATTGTAGGTTTTATATACATATATAATTCTCCACAATTAAAATAATTAAATCTGATTATTAATATAGACTCATGTATTATATATCCAGCTTTAAACTCTTTCCATCATATTTCAATAGCTGTAACTGCCACAGAAATCAGGTTTATGACTGATGGGCTAACTACTCACGTGACTCCCAGTTGCTCAGATTCTTGCTAATACTAATTTTATGATTTTTGTTGTACTTTTTCAGACTCCATACAATGCGCACAGCTGTGGTACTTCCCCTTCTGGCTCTGCTGGCAGTTGCCCAGGCCGTTTCCTTCGCCGACGTGGTCAAGGAGGAGTGGCATACATTCAAGGTGAGTGCTTCCTATGATCTAGAATCTAGATTTGTCACCCCCAAGAAATCAGAGCTCCCGATCAATACAAGTCTTCTTCGGTGTCAACAAGGGCTTCCTACTACCGATGATTAATCATTAAAATCGCATTAAATTTTTGGGGCCTTTGTCTGTTGCAGACTTTTGTTTGTTTAGTTGGGTCGTTGCGCATTTCATTCTTCTGTTTGTGACGCGATTTTCGCGAGCTGAGTCATGAATGCAAATGTGAATGCACCAGGCAAGGCGGGCTCATCAAAAAAGAGTCCAGATAAGTCCAGAAGTCTAGCTTCCAGCAGTCACATGTCGCCGCCGACTCACATGACCAAGCGACGGCGGAGGTGGGGCTTGGGCTCATCCGTAAACATCGGATGAATGGACAGGCTGACTGTCTATCGGTCGCCCACTTTAGCTCCATCACGGGTCAGTCCCACTGATAACTGGTCCACATTGATAAGCAGCGGGACAATAGTATCATTTTGCACCACTTTTGCGGCAGTCCATGATGTTTCCTAATCGTCATCGTCTTGTGGTTAGGCCGACGACTTTGGTGCCTGCCCCGGTTCTGAGTAATTGCATTTAGTATTCGAATCAATGGGTTTATAGCTTTCCCCCTTAAAGTTGCATATAGTTCGGTTTATTTTCTGGCTCACACATCCTTATCGATTTGACCGAAAGATCGCTCATTTTTTATATTTGTCAAGTTCTTTTTTATAATGTCGTGCCAAGCACCATTAGTTGCAAATGGGGGCGTATAATTATAAAAGTATTGCGCAGATCTCGTGTGATAAGTCCCACAAGCATTGAGTACACACAATCTAATTCGTTTTGATATTTTCCCCTAAATAGTGTATTGTTCCACTTCGATGGAATTTGTACTAAAATATGACATGGTCGCTTCCTGAACACCCGTATTTTTCGATAATTTTATCTCTTGTATAGGATCATTGCTCAAGAACAGTTTGGGGGAAATTATATTATATTATTATCAAAACAATATCTTTTATGTGAAATCCCAGTAAGACGAATAGTATGCGATTTGTTTTCGTACGAAATTAAAATTATTAAAACATTAAAGTCTTGACTGTAAATAATATTTAAATTAATCAAATTGGCAGTAAATATATTTCGTTATAGGGTTTAATTCCTTGAAATACGATTTATATATTAATATGTTCATGGTTTCAAAGTATTTCTAAATAATTTTATAAAACATTTATATTTAGTCTGTCTAATTTTATTCCGTAGAAAAGGCTTTACAATTTTTAGGCTTTTAAATAAGAATTACATATTTCCGTACTTATGTTTTAAGACTTAAATTTTGTTAGACAGTGTTAGACCCATAACTGTTGTGGTGACACGGCCACACTGACATAAAAGTGCTGCCCATTCAATGTTGAACTGATAAGCCGCGCTATTCAAATACGTTTCAAAAGTCTTTTCTGAAGCAACAACGAAGCTGTACTTTGTAATCTGTGCGTCGTCCAAAGTTGCAATTGCACAGCTGCAAAAGGCCCCGACCAGCATACTGTACTTCAGCACTGATAAGCTTCAATTAGTTTTAATGCGTTTCAGCAGTTTCATCGCATTCCGCGAGCAAACATGGGGAAAAATCAAAAGACAAAAGCAGAGTCAAACTCAAATTAGGGTTCCGGGGGGTCGTCCGAGTCGAGCGTTCTTTTGGGAATGACGTGCGACGCGGCTCTTATCAAATTGGCATTAAAAATTCACTGTCAGGCGTTTTTATTTAGTTTCGAGAGCCGGAAAGCTTTCAGAGAGTAACCCGAACGTTAAGCAGCAAGTGCACACGACGAAGAATGAATCGAATAAATAAATAGAATCGCGCTCTGTAAATAAACAAGTGGGGAAAAATTTGGCTGACTTGCAAAAGCAGAAGAGGCATTAATACTTTGATTTTTCTTTCGCTATAATCTCCCCACTCTTTTCGAACCGGTTGGTTTTATTTGAATACATTGTCCGACATCCTTATAAATCATACTGCTGTTTGGGAAACCGGTTGCCTTTTTGAACCGTGCCTTTATATGCGCGCACTGCAGAAAGAAATATGGAATAAGAAACGAAAAGGAAGTGAGTTTATGATTGACGAAGTGGTAATACCCTCAAGGTTATAGGAAAAATCGATTAATCTATATTTTACATAAATTGGTTGTAAAATTTAATTCAAATAAGAAAAGTAAATCATTAACACTAGTAACACCATCAAATAAAATAGAAGAGTAAATTGGAAAGAGAGCTATATAAGTTATGAAAGTGTAATTAATATATGATTAAGTTGCTTATAGATTGGGAATGTTTTGCTTTGAGAGAAAAATCTAATTTGATTGATAAACAGACATACGGACAAGCCTATTACTGTGCACTTCATATACTCAAAGCCTTACTTCACTACCCAGAGTAAGAGAAAAGTTCAGGTACTCTCTGGTGAGGGCATAATATAAAAAGTGTGTGTTGCTCGCTCTTGTTTCGGCTTGGCGATAGAGGAGTCTTGCTCAGTGTGTGTGTGTGTGTGTGTGTGTGTGCGAGCACGACCACCACCATCGGAGGCAGTCTCTGCTATGACATTTTCGTTATTTCCCGCCCGACGCTCCAAGCAAACGGTCGAGTCGGACCAAGAACAGCGGCAGCAAACGCTCGCAAGAGAGGAAAGAAATAAAAGGAGACCCAGACAGCACCGGCCCCCACCAGCGAAAGCAAGAAAAGCACGCGCGTCATCGAAAATACTAAAAAAATAAAGAAAAAACGTGCTATTAACTAAGAGAAACCAGAGCAAATACCGTTTTTGGGAACTTACATAAAACCATGGCCGATGCAAATACTCTAAATATCCCCGTGGATGTGGTGTGGCCCACTGTCATTGTCATAGCCATGCTAATGGTTAACGGTTTCGTCTTTGCCTACATCATGCGAAAGCGCCGGGAGTTCAGCAAGCACCTGGCGGTGGAGCATCCACACACATCCTACGCAGCCACCAGCAGCCAGGCGGTGGTCTCAGCACCGCTTGAGGAGCCCGAGGACGACTCCTGTGCCATTCAAATGGAGCGTCTGTAGTCGTAGCTATTGTACTAGTACGTCTCAGACAGAAACTCACCATCCCCTCTCGTCCAGGCTCATCATCAACTGCAACGAATTTTCCTAAAACCGCAGATAGCTGAATAGTTCAAAGATATGATGCTCTCTAATGCTTGCGAAAAATCTTGCTAATACTATATAGATAGATATAAAGATACAGAGCGTATACGTATCGCATCGAGTGCCTAGAACGCACATGCATTTAATTATGGTTCTTAAGTTGTTAAATTTGCTACAAAAAGTATATTTACAATATTAATAAAACGTGTGAATTTTATCATACATTTGTCGAAAAATCAAACTGGATTGTGTGTGTGTGTCATGTGAGTGGTTCGAGTTCAAAGAAAATCAATAGGTCGTTGTTGTAGCTGCAGGCTTTCGAAAGGCTTCCATCCCCTTCAAAGTGGGTAAACGGGCGTGGATATGTTGGATGCATGTCGTCTTAAATTCGAATCAATTATGTCAATTATACGAGTCCAGTCGGAGTCCCCATCCGGCCTATTTGGGGCGACAATTGGTTGCCCCGTCGGCTTTGAGAACTGGTGCGCTCTGTTATTCGTTCGGCTTTGATGTCCAAAATAATTACATATGCATGTTTTTTCACACATGACAGAGTCACTCAGAGTTATTCGTTTTATGGTGACGAGCTAGGGATACCCTATATTACTCTTTAGTGCTTTGTTTAACTGAGAAACCACAGAAATGATAAGAAATTCTTGAGAAAATCATGTATTTTATCAGACTATTTGTATAAAAAATTTAATTTGATATTGTTTATGGGTAAATGAAAAGTAAAGCTTCTGTTTAGCTCTTAAAATTAAATACTAAACCGAAGAAAATTTACTTGCCTGCAATATAAACTTCCATTTCATATAGTATTTACCTAAAAGATGACTGAATCATTGTTATTTTTAATTTAATTTAATCATCATATATTAAAGCACTTTACTTTTGCTTTCTTTTTATGGAACTAATGGCGTAGAGCTGATATATTATTAAGTCATTGAAAAACATTTAATTTTCCTACAAAACACTACTTAACTTGTAAATAAATCATTTAAGATTGATCTGGATCTAATCTAATTTTCGAAAGAAGCCTGTTGTGCATTGAAAAAATCTATAGTTTATTGACTATCAATCAAAATCAATCCCACAGATGTTGAAACGGTTTTTATTTACCCAAAAGTAATAGATATCACCCCGGTCGACTGCGTGTTTTAGACGTTGGGAGCAATTTTCATTTATAGCTATCATTTGTTCAGTTCTCGTAGCTATTTCCGTGCTGTTCAAATATGCGGGTCGGTATGGACAAACAACCCTAAACTAAACCATTGGCGAGGCGGGGACCGAGTCCGGGACCAATGCAGCGAGACGAGATTAGGGCGCATTTCGTGCCTTACTACCTGCGGTGGAGCTGTTGTTGTTTTTGTTTATTACCTGGAACATTAACACCATTGCCCAGGTCTTCGTTCCTGTTGTCGTTGAGCACCATTTTATGGTCATGCTGTGCTACTGTTCCATAACTCAGAGCATGGCGCTCGTGCCAGGTTGACGTCTCCGTGATAAGGTTATCTCAAGATTAAGAACTCTTGGTCAGATCGTAAATCTGGTTTACGTAAACTTTTATTCGTTGCCTTGGTATAAGTGATTTCCAAACCGATGAATTGCCTTAGAGAATTGCATTAAAATGTTGTTACCTTTCCTGAACTTTGTATCTACTCGTAGCTGATAATTGATAAGAGCTAACACGGTGATAAGAGTGACACTATCTAAACGAGACTCTCTTTTTTCCTATACATATATGCAGCTGGAGCACCGCAAGAACTATAACGATGATACCGAGGAGCGTTTCCGTTTCAAGATCTTCAACGAGAACAAGCACAAGATTGCCAAGCACAACCAGAATTGGGCATCCGGCAAGGTGAGCTTCAAGCTGGCTGTGAACAAGTATGCCGATATGCTGCACCACGAGTTCCGTCAGGTGATGAACGGCTTTAATTACACCCTGCACAAGGAGCTGCGGTAAGAAGCGGAATTCTCATCTAGAGCAGAACTCTGAATTTAATTTGTTTCTCATCTTGTAGCGCCGCCGATGAGAGCTTTGCCGGCGTCACCTTCATCTCGCCGGCTCATGTTACCCTGCCCAAGTCTGTGGACTGGCGCACCAAGGGAGCTGTTACCGAGGTTAAGGATCAGGGTCACTGCGGCAGCTGCTGGTCCTTCTCCAGCACTGGAGCTCTGGAGGGACAGCATTACCGCAAGACCGGCGTTCTGGTCTCGCTGTCCGAACAGAACCTGGTCGACTGTTCCACCAAGTATGGCAACAATGGATGCAACGGTGGTCTCATGGACAACGCCTTCCGCTACATCAAGGACAATGGAGGCATCGACACCGAAAAGTCGTATCCCTATGAGGCCATCGATGATTCGTGCCACTTCAACAAGGCGACGATTGGAGCCACCGATCGTGGATTTGTCGATGTGCCCCAGAAGAATGAGAAGAAGCTGGCCGAGGCTCTGGCCACTATTGGTCCCGTTTCCGTTGCCATTGATGCCTCCCACGAGTCCTTCCAGTTCTACTCGGAGGGTGTCTACGACGAGCCTTCCTGCGATGATGAGAACCTGGATCACGGTGTCCTCGCGGTGGGCTTTGGCACCGATGAGTCCGGCGTGGACTACTGGCTGGTGAAGAACTCTTGGGGCACCACCTGGGGCGACAAGGGCTTCATCAAGATGGCGCGTAACAAGAAGAACCAGTGCGGCATCGCCACCGCCGCCAGTTATCCCCTGGTCTAAGGTCCAGAACTGATTTATTTACTAGCCACTGTCCCCTCATATTATAAAAAAAACGGAGAGAAAAACAAGAAATACCCAACGCAAGCATCTTAAATGAACTTTAATTAACTCCTAATCGTTTCCTTAGTCGAAACTTCTTATTTTAATCTTTGATTTTGTATTCCCTCACCAAGTCTCCCATTACATTCATACGTTCTGCCATCACATACAATCTAAATGAACTCTTGCTGTGTTGATGTTTGTAGACAAATAAATAAAAAGTATATAAAATTTGTATATATATTTCTTTTAATTAGCTGCGGCTTCAAATGCACAGACATTTTTTAAAATTTTTAATATCGCGGTAGAAATGTTCTCACCAGAAATTTTTTGAAAAAATCGATATCCCATTCTTTTGGTCACACTATAATGGGATTTATAGATCTAATTTAGAACTTAATTATATGGCCGTAGCGGTGTGAGGAAACATTTTTATTTTAATCGAACCCTTTTTTATGAAATTTCAATGATAAAAGATCTGATATATATAATATATATTATATATCAGCTGTTTATAGAACCCATAACAGATGTGACCATTTGCTTTTAATGTTATTTTTCGGACATGTGGGATTTTACTCTAACCAGACCTGGTCACATTGCAAAAGTTGGGCAATAAGTTTCTGAAAATGCAAAAATAAATACAAGTGTTTGCTGCCAATTAATTAAGAATCCCTCCAAAGATGCTGTTGACACTTCGTGTGCAGGGAACACGGCTCTGCCCGCGTCCAGGGAGCGTCACCCGAAGTCTGGCTAGCAGCGTGGCGGCTGAAAAGTCGTCGCCACCCCCAGTCCAACCCCAGCTGGAGGTCAACGGAAGCACGTACGCCACCGACAGCTGGACGAATGTAACGCCCAAAATCCTGTCCTACCTGGGAGCCAATAAGCACCTGCAGACGGACCACCCCCTGTCCATCATTCGCCAGCGGATTGTTAATTACTTTTACGCCGCCTATCGCAATCAGCGCGGAAATCCGCTGTTCTCTGTGTACGACAAACTGAACCCGGTGGTCACCGTGCAGCAGAACTTTGACAATCTGCTGATTCCCGGTGACCATGTCAGTCGGCAGAAGTCGGACTGCTACTATGTCAATCAGCAACACTTGCTGCGCGCCCACACGACCGCCCATCAGGTGGAGTTGATCTCCGGCGGGCTAGACAACTTCTTGGTGGTCGGAGAGGTGTACAGGCGCGACGAGATCGACAGCACCCACTACCCGGTGTTCCATCAGGCTGATGCCGTGCGGCTGGTCACCAAGGATAAGCTATTCGAGCGCAATCCCGGCCTGGAGCTGTTCGAGGAGACGTGGTCGGGCCAGCTGGCCGACCCGAAGCGCATCCTGCCCTCCTCGAAGTTCATGGACCAGACCAAGCAGCCCTGCCACACGCTGGAGGCCGTCAAGCTGATGGAGCACGAGATGAAGCACGTGCTCGTGGGTCTGACCAAGGATCTTTTCGGACCACGCATCAAGTACCGCTGGGTGGACACCTACTTCCCCTTTACGCAGCCCTCGTGGGAGTTGGAGATCTACTTCAAGGACAATTGGCTGGAGGTCTTAGGCTGTGGTATTATGCGTCATGAGATTCTGCAACGCGCCGGCGTACATCAGTCAATGGGCTATGCCTTTGGCGTCGGCCTAGAGCGTCTGGCCATGGTGCTGTTCGACATACCGGACATTCGGCTCTTCTGGTCGAACGACAGCGGTTTTCTGTCGCAGTTCAGCGAGAAGGATCTGCAAAATCTGCCCAAGTACAAACCCATCTCGCACTACCCGCAGTGCACGAACGACCTATCCTTCTGGCTGCCTGAAGATGTACAGGTGGACGCCGGTTTCTCGCCTAATGACTTTTACGATCTGGTCCGTTCGGTGGCCGGTGATATGGTGGAGCAGGTGGGTCATTCTGCTGGTTTCCCCTCTTACCTCAGTTTTTAATATTTACTTGCATTCGCAGATCAGTCTGGTGGATAGGTTCAAGCACCCGAAGACGGGCAAGTGGAGCGTGTGCTTCCGCATCGTTTACCGCCACATGGAGCGCACCCTCACCCAGGCGGAGGTAAACGAGGTACACAAGCTGATCGCTAGTGCCAGTGTGGATAGTTTCAATGTGCAAATACGTTAGTAAGTCATAGTTCCTAGTTCAGTTTTCAATTTAAACCAAAAACAAGCAGTAAAACGTAGCCATCAAAGTTTCGAGTTTATATAGTTTTCAAGCACTTTACATTCTGTTCGATCCATTCGTTAGCATTAACGAGCAGACTGGGATTATCGACGAACTCCTTTTGCGGCTGGCACTCTGTTTTAGAGCCCTTTCGAACAAAACCCGCCTCTCCCTCGTTGAGAATGCCCACGGAGGCCATTTCGTGCATGTTAACCGACTTGTTATTTCGGAAATTTTGAATGCTCAGATGATCCAGCAGCCTGTCCATATCCTTGGCTTTTGGCGGACATTCCAGGAAGCTGGCAATGCTATGAATAGTGCCTGGGAGATCCACCAGCATATCCTCGTAGCGCAGAAAGAGGACATTATCCAAATGGGCGTACGCGCGAGCTTCCTTCACATGACTGTAGTAAGGCAGCCAGGGATCTGTAAGTATCCACATTTAAAGTTTATAAGGCCAAATAGAACCCAGAGATCACAAACTTAGTCCTCGCTGAAAGTAGCGCCAGTACCGCTCAAAATCTCCCACATAGCCCTGGGTGCGGAAAAGCCTGTTCAAATGGTAGTAGGACACTGCCACATCCTTGGGATCACGCACCACATATATAACCTTGCACTTTTTCTCCATGACACTGGGCGGCATTAGGGAAAAGGGAAAGTGCGTTTTGATAAACCGTCGTTGGCTGTGCGGCACCTCGCTCAGGGCCTCATAGGCCGGCCGAGAGATCTTCTCAATAAACTCCAAAGCACTGGCAGACTCTTTGTTTTTCTCCAGCAACTCCTCCTTCACTTGGGGATGCATGAACACGGGAAACCTGATAATGGATGTGATATCATCTTCTCATTTTGGATCCTTACGTTGTGGACTTACTCGAAAAATGGAAAACGCTCAGGGAGCGGCCGTCGCTGGGCCTGCTCATAGTCCAGGCCATTGGCCAGCAGCCAAATGAGCTCCTGCGTCCACGTGGTGCCCGATCTGGGCACGGTGGCTATCCACACATCATCCGGCCGTGCCTCGAAGTTGTAATACCTCTCCGCCTCTTCCTTGTACTTGTGGGGAAAAAAATATCCCTCGGAGCCGACCTGCACGAAGCCAGTCCGCTCGCCTACGAGTTTTGGAGTGAAAAGAATGAGGATGGGCTGGGCAACGGGAAACGGATAGACAAACCATGGAAGTACTCCATCAATTCCGCATTAGTAGACTCCTCAACATCGCGAATTTCGTGGGGAAACTTAAGAGTAGATTTTTCCATTGCATGCGCGACCAGTTGCCAGAGTTGACTGCGAACCAGAGAGCGTTTTTTCTGTTGAGAAAGCTTGACCCCGCTTTCGGGCCGCAGAGAAAGTGGCGGCCGTTGCTTAGCTTAGCTCAGCGCAATTTAAATATCGTCTTGATGATACTTGTTGCTTTATTGCTTTTAGTGCGAAGTACTAGTTGCTGGACAAGCACAAGGTGTTGCATTGGGTTGGGCTAAGTGCAAGGTATGTACACACATGGGTGTGTCCCAAACCATTTTTTACTTTTAGAGGGAGAAGGAACAGTTCCTTAGATTGTCAATGCTCTCTCAAGAAAGCTAGATTTAGTACTTTATTACTTCGGTAATTTCTTGGAGCGGAAATGGCGAGATCGACTCGGTTTTATAATGATTCGGATTCATTTATCAGCTTGCTAGCTTTTGATATGAGATACTTTAATCCCAAAAAATAATTATATTCTCACATTGCAGATTCTAAAATTTAACATCAAATAAATACACATTCCTGACCACATATAATTTTAAATACATTCTTAGTCTCGAATCGATTTTTGGTTTACTCTTCCCCCTCAACGTTGTCGAATAGGCTTAGCAGCTCCTGCTCCTTGCGTTTAATGCGCTCCTGGATATTGGCCACCGGCTCCGACTTGGGCACCTCGCGGCTGAAGAACTCGTCCATAGACTTGAAGACGTTCTGGTACTGGTTGTCATACGTGGCGTATGAGATCGATGGCAACTTCTTCGGTAAACGCTTGGTGACGGCATTCCTGTCGGAGAACTCCCTCAGCTCATCCAGATGCAGCTCCTCGCCCTGCTCGTGGTTAGCGAAACGACGCGCCGCCAAACGATCATTCCGAGCCTTTCGCTCGCGGCGCTCCCGATCGATCTGCTGGACCAGCTGCGCCGACGGGCTCACCATGTTGACGTAGCCGAGCAGCAGGCGGTGGTCAAGGATTTCCGCCTCGTTGGTCTGGATGCCCGTCTCCAGCAGCTCTTTCTCCTTGGCCTTGGCCTCCTCCGCTGCCAGCAGTATCTCGTACTCCTCCGGAACCCTGGGTTCCGACACACCAGTCGCTGGCATCTCCTTGCGCTCTTTGGAGACTATGGCACCGGCCGTCTGTCTGGTAGGCCAGAGACGCGCCCGTGCCGCTTGTTTGGCCGCCTGAGACATCACCCGCTGCTTAGTTGGTTTCTTGAACTCACCATCAGTGCCCTTCGATGGGGGGGCCGACGTTTGGGTCTTTCCCTGGACAGCTTGATCCGACTGCTGCTTGGCCGTCTGCCTGGCCCTCAGAGCCGAGCTTATGGTGGACTGAACCAACCGAGAGGGTGGTGGGTTGCTCTTGACCTGGCGACGACCTGGCTGCTTTGGGGCCGCGCCGGTGCCGCCTCCATCGCCCGCTCCGCCGTGAACTGCCTTGCGTGTTCCCGCCGACTGCGTCGATAGAGACTCCGTCACCAACTTGGCCCGGACTGTCACCCCAGAGGTGGTATTTGCACGACCTCGAGGAGTTGCAAGCGTTGCCGCACTCCAACCGCCGGTTTTGCCAGAGGAATTCATTTTCTTGCCTGGTAAAGAGGCTCTATCTTATCGAACCAAAATCTTGTCTGAGTATGGAAATACCGAAGATTATTTGTTACGGGAGGATCTACTATAATTTTTACAATATTTTCGAACAGAATTGTTTTATGTCGAACTGGTTGGAAGCAATGGCAAAAAATATATGAGATGATCCTTTGAATTTATTCACCCCACATACTGGGATCGCTTTGACTGATAAGTTTTCGTGGGCAAAAACGCTGCAACAATCCAAACTAAAAGATCTTGTGAATCTAAAAATATAATAAAATGTTGAAAAATTATTAATTTATCATGTATGGTAAACTAGTTAATTATTTAGTTGATTATTAATTACCTAGAATTCATTGGCGATATCATTTACTTGGAAGTACTGTTGAAGTTTAAGGAGTTGAGCTTTGACACTATTTGATTGGGCGTTATGACAACAAGAGTACGTGCAGATGGATAATGTGAAATTTTTATTGAAATCAAACTGTCTTTTTTTTCATACTAAATACACAGAAAGATAAACATATAGGCTCTTAATTCAGAGATGTCTTTTTTTTTTTTTGACTTATATAAAATATATTTAAGTCATGGTCATACATAGATATGGAACCGTCACAGAACTTTAATGGTGCCGAATATAAATTAATTGGCCGGAGAAGGAACTTAGTTAAATCAAAAGATCCCTTACCCATGGAAATAATTAAACAGATAATAAACACTCAGTCATAAACTAATCGCACACATAGTCTGCGGTTTGCAATACAGATGTGGGCCACCCATAATGGACGGTCACCATCCGTATTATAAACCGAAAACGCTGCGCTGCGGGCAATTGCAACCGAAAAGTGTTCACTTTGAGGGCTCCATGTCTATGCTCGAATCAAAAACATTAGCATGTGATTGCGCAAAGCGAGAAGGTCAGATCAGGGAGGAAGGATCCTCTTTCAGCCTGTCTCTGGTCTTCTCGTGGGCGCACATCAAGTGCAAATCCATTTGGTAAGTTGTTTTGCTAATTGGCGCATGGATGATCGCAGATCGCACAAATGCCAATAGCAAAGTCAAAAAGAGGACCGCACTATTGCTTGTAAGGCCAAGCAACAGCATAATCCTCATAGATTGGAGATAGCTACTCTCCTAAGAAGCTACACTCTTATGAAATGACACACTTCGACTTCTTTTCCGCACGAGGCGGCGGCGTTGGTGGCCAATCGATTTGGGTCCAGTTGCCGTGGTGCTCGTAGTAGGGCGGCGGGCGCCGGTATTCCTCGGACATGGGACGCATATTTTCGAAACGGTGATTCTCGCTTGGAATGTAACTGTAAGTGGTTTTTGGCGGCGACATTTGTGGAGCACTGGGCTGGTACGGCACTTCAATGCCACAGGGAACTCCATTAATGTAGCGTTGCTCGCTCCTGATTGACGGCATTGCCTTTATAGAGATCGGCTTAGAGGCCTTCTCAACCGTTGATTTTGGCTCGCCTCTGCATGCCGATACAGGCATTATATTGTTTGGAGTGTTTTCGTCTGAGGGCAGCCTAAAGGGCGTATTGACCGGTAGATTCAAGGGTTTTGGATGCTTTGACGGAGTTTGGGTAGTTGAACCTTTTTCCTGGCCCTGTTTTCCCAATTTTAAATCCTTCAATTGGGCCGTCACCGCACGAGTTGCATCGCAGTTGTGGTTAACGTAGCGTGGTCCCTGGCCTGGAACCTTTGGCAACTCGTCAAATATCTTGTCAAGCTCGGTCTTATCGGCAGTCTTTGACTCGTTGCCTAGTTTAAGCAACTGTTCCTTGTTGTAGAACAGCCTAACCGCCTGTGCTGGGTTCTTCGTGTTGGAAGCAGCTAAATGGTAAGTAAAGGAATGAAATTAGAATTATCGGAGCAGCACCAGAGAAACAAGAAATCGTGGAAAGTACAAAGATTGCCGATTTATTATGCAAATGAGGCTAAGGAGTGATCGACATTGATTTGTATTCAAATCCTATTATCCTAGTGCACGATTTATGTTTCTCTGGAGATATTGGTTTTGGGTTTTGGGATTATTACTTCGCTTTAAGGTCTGTCCCAGGCCAGCCGGTGTTGCAGCCTGCTGCTGTCGCTCAACAGCAGCCCCAGCGGCTCCGCTACGCGCGCCTCCGGGAACGGGATTCGGCTTATTCTGGAAATTAACTTCCTCGTGGAAGTATGGCATTCCCACCAGAGTCTTGCGATCACGGCACATTTCAATAATTCGCCGGAAATCGTTATTCTGGCTGAGCGTTCGCGGATTACCGATCAGAATAAGCAGGGACATCGGACGCGAGAGCAGGACATTCAGGCGCTTCGGGGGACAAAAAAGAAGGCAATTAATACATTGAATCAGTCAAAGTTACAATCATTAAAACGAGAAACTATTTAAAAAACACCAACAAAGACACTCACCCGTTGGTTGTTCAAAAAACCCAGCTTGGGCGTAAAGGAACGCACAAAGGACACTATAACCACCTGCTTCTCCTTGCCCTGGAACAGCTCCACAGACCCACAATCGATCTGCGACCAGTTGCGCATGTTCAACTGCTCCTGAATGCGTTGATACTGGCTCTTATAGGGCGATATAACTCCGATATCCGATTGGGAAACCTTCTCTCCGTTTAAGCCAAAGTACATGAGATCCTTGACATAGTCCATGACGGCATCGATTTCCTTGTTGTTGCACAGACTATTAAATAATTAAGTATATATTATATATATATATATTGTAGAAGGAATTATGGATACTACCTCACGGAGCTTTTGGTGTTCATCACAGTGCCAAATACCGAATGGAACATGATTGGAAAATCGGCATTGGGGGTGTGGAACCAAGTCTGGAAGCGACAAACAGCATCTGTAAACGAAATAAATGCATTTATTTGTTGGATAATGGTCTGCAAGGTTGTAGTTACTTACCCATTGGAGCCTGAGCCTTAAGCTTTCCATTGTAATAGAGCTCGCTGTATAGCGAAACTATCTCTGGATGAGAGCGGAAGTTGCGAATTAGGCGCGTTTGAATGGCCTTGTTGTAGCTCCCGTCCTTATCTACCTGGTAGCACTTTCTCTCCAAGAGCCTCTCGAATAAGGACACATCCAGACCCCATTCACTGGCCCGCTGCGACTGCAACACTGGTCCCAGCTGCTTGTGGTCCCCGGATAGGATCAGATTCGACGACGGCGAAATGGTGCAGGTGATGCCCATCAGTGCTTCTGCCTCTGTCGAGGCGGCAGCTTCATCTAGAAACACATGCGAAAAGATATCGCCACGAGCGAATCCACCCGTTGACAACTTTCCGGCCAAACTGAGAGTGCAGACCACGATGCGATACTGATGCAAGGCCTGCACGGCCGGATAGAAGTGGACGGCGTACATGTTGGAGTACTCCAGCAGGAGGTCGTCAATATTATCGATGCGTCGATCGCAGCTGGCGGCAAAGATACGGGCCAAGGGACGTGGTTGACTCTCCGGAGCTTTAGCAATCGCCTGGAGCAGCCGAAGTGCAACCTCGTCGCAGGCCGTATTCGAGCCAGCCAGTACCAGAATGTTCGTCTCCGGACGATTGACGTACAGCTGGTAGATGGCCTCGCATATGGTCGAGGTCTTGCCGGTTCCCGGCGGTCCGAATACAATATATGGAGCGGGGAGCTTTTTGCAGAAAGCTATCTGCTTTACAGCATCCATCTGCTCCGGATTGCTCGCAATCCTTCCGTTGTTCAGCTTTATGGCACCCACTGGTACCGACTCCCGTGGAATGTCGCCGGGAAAGAGAATCCTTTGTACATCCTCGGCGCGAGTCAAGGCTAACTGCTGGAGAGCCCGATACTGGTAGCGCATCACTGCTCTCATCGGACGGAAGATCAGCGTGTAAGTGGTGTTGTCCGCCAGCTGGCGTTCGCATGTGATGTTCACACGCTGCGTCGAAACGCCCAGGATGCGCGCAAAGTAGACGCGGGGCGGTTTGTCCAAGGATCCAAACCGTTCGTCTACCATCCGGCCCCACTGCACGATCGCGTCGAAGTCCTTGAGGGCCAGCTCCAGCACCTGGTTGTTGCTCTCAAGCAGCTGCCGCACACCTCCCTCGGAACTACTACGTTCGTTAATAATCAAGACATCGTCGCCCGGCGAGACAATATCCTCTACGCTCATACTGTTCGCGCTCTGCTGCAACTTCACCGAGAGCTCCCGCCCAAACTGATGCAGCTCCATCTTGGACTGCTTGAGAGCCAAATAATGCTGCAACCGTTCGATGTCCTCCACTTGAAGCAAAGTGCGCAGCGTACCGGTAATGTTCTCCTGGGTGAGGTCCTTGCCCCGCTCGCAAAAGTTGCGATAATGCTTGTCAAAATCGGCAAGTCGCACCTGAGCATCGTCGTGCTTCAGGGCATGCACCACCTCGGTGGGCGGATTGGCCGGAGCTAGACGCTGACTCTTGAAGGTCTCATTGCTGGACAACCGGTACGGATTTATGTTAAAGCTGGCCTTGGGCAGTGCCTCCGTTCGCATAAAGTGGTGCTGCTCCACATACCTAACTCCATTGCAGGTAAACCCAATTACGATCGGCATCTCCCGAAGGATCATGAAGACGTGCGAGTCCACAAAGAAGACCAGTTCCCCTTTCTCTGACACCTCCAACGGCATACGTGCATTGTTCACGTAGTAGAACTGCCGTAACTGCACAATGATGAACTTGTTTATCACCAAATCTTTGATTTCAGTCTTTAGGGTGAAACCAAAGTAGTGACTGTCCAAGCAAGTCTGATAGGACAGTGTCAGTTTGGGGGAAGAGCTATAAGGAAAGAGATGAATTAATAACCTCGGATCCAACCATTAATTAAAACTTACAGCTTCTCCATATTTTTAAGTGATTTAAAATCTGACTCATCGCCATGATACTCCACATGCTCCTCGTACTTCTCGATGGTCTCAAAGTTTACCTGGCATATATAGCAGCCCATGGAGCCCAGCTTAAAGTCCGTAGGCGGCATCTGTACCTGGGTCTTTTGGTATTTTAATATTGTAGCCTGGGCCTTCGAATCGAGTTTATACTCTACAAACAAATCGCTCATTTAGTTGTGAACATCTGAGTGCAGGAATGATCCTACCTTCGGTTATGACCCCACCATTACCCTTTACCCCAGCTCCTTCGGAAATAGTGGTCAGTGTTGACGCACTGACATCCCGCTGACGGTGGTTTTCATCCATCAAGTTAAACTTCTCCTTGCGAAATTCCATCAAGGCGAAGTTCTTGATGCGATAATTGTTGTTGCCACGAGGCGTATTGATCAGAAAGTTGGTCCGATGCAGCAGAGATCCGATCTGTGGCAAAAAAAGTACGATATGCATTAATTCTTTATTTATTTACATTGACCACCCACGAGGGATTACATTATCGATCGTCGATGCCTTATCGCCAGGCTTCAAGTGCGATATCTGAGCGCTTAACAATCTGCCTCAAGTCACATGAACCTGATACAGACACTTGTTTTTGTTTCAGCGAAACAAAAATGGGGAACCACATGATTTGGCTGTTATTATTTTACAAGAGCCATGTTATTTGAGATATAAATCATTGCTTGAAAAGATCAATCATAATATTGGTTTATAAACAGATTTAATGTTGATCAAGCTTCTTTTAATATATACAGAAATTAGGATTATAAAATAATCCTCAAAATAAAACCTCTTAGACCTAGCTAGCTTATCAGCTTCCTGTCTTGGCATTGCTTTGCCAAAACATTTGAAATATTCGTATATTTCCATTTGTGTATATATCATAAATGTGTTGTATATAAATAGTAGTGTATGTGAATTAAAATAATATATATATAACTTTACTAAACAAACATACTTATGTATGGTTGATAACCGGTAGTTAATTGTTAATAAAGATAAACCTAACAGACTTAATTGCACCTGGGATTCCCATAATAAAATTCTTTAGCGTTAACCCTATGCAGGCACACTTGAATTTAGTGCAATTCATTAATAAAAACTTCTCATATGTTGGCATAGATAATTGCAAAGTAATGACAGTATATATTTTAGTTCTAACGAAACTAAGATAAAGTATATAACTTCCCCAAACAAATGTTTGCCTAACCAAAAAGAGATGGATTTTTTTCTAGGTATAATGGAGGGTTTAACCCATTTCCGGATTTGGATTAGCCAGCAATGAAATCCAGTGGGATAAACCCGCTAACAGAACACGAATGAGTCATATGCCAGAATCGGTTTAGTATATGTCTAGCCGGCTATTTGAGAGTGTTTGTGAGCGTCGTTGATAATGCGAAACGAATTGTTTGGAGCCCACAGACTGAAAACTGAAAACAAAGGAAAATCGTAATGCAAACTTCTTATCGCTGTGGGGTTGGCGAATCTGTGTGGGTGTGACTTTAGTCTAGATTTTCAACCAGAAAAACAGTTACGAATAAAAGTAATAAACGCTTGAACAATATTATTTTGATATGTATCTATGTGAAAAAGAATTTCTTTAACAAAGATTAGTATAACCCGAGCAATAAATATCTTACTCATTTCTTAGGCGTGTGTTTTCGCTAGGGGTACGTGTACTTACATTCCAGGCTCCCTGGATGGAAAGCTTTAGCCGCACCTCACCGCTCTTGGACTGCGATGCGAGGTGAGCTTCAAACATTTGCCGCATCTTCGTCTTGTCCACATACCACTCCGACCGAGCAGTGATCACCTGTCGATCGGCCATTTCCAGCAGAAACGTTCCAATAAACTCGCGCTCTATCGAATGCATTAAATGGGATTGTTATGGAATCAATAACATAATAAATATGCATTAAGTTTGACTCACCCCATGGCACTGGCGTCTTCCGAGCCATTCCATTGGGATAGGTGCCGGGACCGGTTGTTGTTTTCGTTCCCACTTCATTGCTGGAAGGCGGCGTTCCCGGCGGCGTCAAAGTGCCATCCGGCGGATTGTTATTGTTGTTCATTTTTTTCGCGACTGCTGCTGCCGCCGCCTTCTTCTTTTGATTTTTGTTCTTTGTCATATTTTCCAAATCTTCGCTGTCTTTATTATGTATTCTTTTATCCCTCACTAAAAGGGAATGTACATACATATGTGCATACGTTGCCTAAATATGTAGTTTTTGCTAAAGTGTAAGCAATTACAAGTTAGTTATTTAACGCGATCACAAAGCACACAGCACATTCACACACAAACACGGGTTTATAGACTATATAGTTTACAGCAACTGCAGCTGATCGAAGTGCACGACGCGACGTTCTAGTAAAAAATAAAGCGAACGAGAACGGGACTTTTATATATCCGTGCGTGTGTGTGTGCGTATGTGTTTGAATATGTGCAGCGGCAGCGAGCGTTTTGGAGTAACGGAGATTACTGGAACTGCTTTCCTGCCTTCCAGCTAACTTCATATGGTGGACCATTGGAACGTGGAAAGGGTAAGCAGTTCCGTGGCAGCAGGCGTACTTACGTATCACTGTAAATTTGTTATGTATACTTGTTTTTAACGTTTTTTGCCTTTGCGGCCCCTCAATGATGCTTGATCTTTAAAATGTGTCCTTATTTTCTGTCTGTATGCTTTTGTATATTTTTGTATTGGAATTTTCGTGGGGTATACTTGGTATAAAATTGAACTGTAACGAACGTTTGACTTGAAATTCTTGGAAGTCCCGGAGTTAAAGTTCGGTTTGGTGTGGCCAGTCTGTACGTAAGCCAAGATCGGTCGATCGTGGGTCTTACGGCTGACCGGTATTTTTCGCACCAACGATGGTGGTCATATTAATTCGGTTGCGGCTTAAAAAGAAGAAAAAAACCGTTACGAGTTTTTATTTAGCGTTAAAGTTTTGTTAAAACGCTTACGATGGTAAACTCATCTCGTTTATAAAGACGTAATTTTTATTTTTATATTTATGTTTTGAATTATTATATAAATTTATTGATGTTTACGAATAAAATAAATAATTTCTTTTGTAAAAATGTTTTGGAAATTAGTTATTTTTTTCAGAAATTGGTTTGATAAATTTTTTAATGCATTTGCTTTTAACTTACTCTTTTAAGCTTAAACCTACCTTATGAATCTACGCTTATTCTACTTCTTGGCCAGCTTTAGTTTCTCGGAGCCGAAGATCACTCCAGTATCTCCCAGTTTGCGCTTCATGGCAAACGGATTAACCGAATTCAGGGGAGTTCTTTGCTCTGCACTTTTACCCAGCGGAATCTCGGGCTCCGATTCCCCGAATATGTTTTCCTGGGTATCCAGCGGAGACTGTGTGATCTCTGGAGTGGCGGGGCGCGATGCCGCTTTAAACATATTTGGAGAGTTGGTGAATCGCTTCAGGGTTCCCCGTTTAGCCGAGCTCAGCTCGATTGCCTTCGGTTTGGGCCCACTCTGGCTTCCCCCTGTCGGCGTCATGGGCAGGACAATTGTGGCAGCAATGCCGCTGGCTCCCAGAAGGGTCTGCTGCTTGCGTGCCTCCTGGACGGCCTCCAGTTGCGGGAGCAACTCGCACAGACGATCCGACAGATGTATGCGTCCGCGCTTGGTGGCATACTTCACGGCCAGCTGAAGCAACTCCGTGCAGGCTATCGATTCAATCAGTTCCCTGGCTCTCGTCTCGCACTCGCTGCTGCAGGCCAAGGCAAACAGCTTGATAGCCGTCTCCTTTTGCATCTTCTCCGCACCGTCGACTTGCATCAGACTCGAACGCAGCAGTGCATCCTCCAATTCCGATTTCTCCACCTCGATGTCGCACAGCGGGATTTGCATGCGAAGCTCCTGCAGCATGGGCCGCGGATTGGTCATTGGGTAAGAGGTGCCGCGGCACAGCACTGCCTGCACGATCTGTCGACGCTCGGAAACTGCGACCACAAAGAAATTGTGCGACACACTGGTGCTGTGCTTCATGGTGTCACAAATGGGAAACCAGGCGTTGCTGCTTCGGCGGTACAGCTGCAGCAGCCCCATGTTGTCTGCAATGCTTGGCGATCCGGTGTCACTGTAGCCCAGCCAAGAGAGCTGCCGGCCCGGAGTCAACGGCACTGGCAGATACTCCTGACGCAGACTCAAGCCATTGATGTTAACTAGCATGGCGGAGAGGTGCTGCTGCGTCTGGCTGGGCGCTGAGCTGTGGTACACAACCATCAGGCTGTGCTCGTGCCCGGCGATAGCTACCACAGGTCCTGGAATGGTCAGCACCTCGCGCTGTGTGCCCATGACGCTGAAGATGCGCAGGAAATGGGCGCTCGTGGCAACAGCAACTAAATGGCTGGTGGCCACCAAGGCGTCCACACTCTCACAGTCTGGCAAACTGAGTGACCACTCCTTGTTTCCAGCGGCGGCCAGGGCAATTACCACCAGCTTGCTGGACTCGTTAGAGGCCAGAGCCAAGGCTCCACTGCTTAGACTGGCCAAATTGTGGTGATTATAATTACTGATGTGCAGCGCATGATGGATGCTGGCATCGTGGAACTCCACATCGATGGCTCCGTCTCCCGAGGGCTCCACATGTGCAGTAACGATGCCCACGTCATTCCAGGCCATGTAGCGATGCTCCAGATCGCTGGGAGTGGCACTGGGCTGAAAGGCAGCCTGCTGCTTGAACAGCTTGATTTGCGGAGCAGCTGCAGTAGGAGCAGTTCTGTTGCTACTGGCCAAGGACTGGTTGGAGGCATCGTCTTGGTCCACAGGGTCTGCGAACTTCATAACTTTGCGTTTGAGTTGCTCTAGGCTCACACCATCGCCATCATCTACAGGGGCTTCAACATCGTCGTCGCCCTGAAACTCATAGTCGGCGAGCAGCTCATCCTGATCGTCCTCTAAACCCTCCTCACCGCCCGTTGCGGCTGCATCGGTGAAGAATACAGTTCCCAACTGGCCAGTAGCATCGCAGAAGGCCAACTCCTCCTCGCCGGATCGGTTCCAGGCCAGACAAGTGATTGAATTGCAGTCGTTTGGTGGCATCTCCACAGAAACTGGCCTGCGCTTTTTAACATCAAAGATGCTAATCTCACCCTTGGTCGTTCCGGCCGCCAGTCTCTCTCCATTCGGGGAGAATTGGCAGCAGCTGTAGTTGCTGGAAACAGCATCGTCGCGTAGTTTGAAGGCCACCTCCCAGTTGGCTGTGTTTAGCACCACGATCTGGTTGTCCACGGCATACGCGAGGAGTTCACCGGTCTGCGGCTCAAAAGTGGGAGTACCATAGTGACTGGCGCTCTCGAAACTGTTCACCTTAGGCAAACCAGAGATGCTCTTGAGTTCCTTGCCCTCTTCGAAGTTCCACACTTTGAGATTGCCATCGCCCGCCACGGAAGCCAGGAGTTTTCGCTCAGCAAACATGTCCAGGGCCAAAACTGGACCCGTGTGTCCTTCCAGGACGGTCTCATTGCCGGCGGTGTCTCCCTTAAGCACCTTAATGGTGGTATCCTCGCTGCCAGCAGCCGTGAAACCACCCTGCACCTTGAGACAGGTCGCCGGGGCCGTAAATCGCATGAGGATGCCGTCGCTGTCCATATCCGGGAAGGTGTACGCATGCACCGTATTGCGATCCGTGGAGGCCAGAAGACGGGTACCCGTGTGGGCGAGGCACATAACGAACTCGCCCAGGCAGCTGGAGCGAGGATCGTCGTCGCTGATGCAGGTCCAGTGCCGTATGTCACCATCGGTGCCGCACGTGATGATAAACTCACCGCGCGGCGTATACAGTAATCCAGTGTAGCCGTTAGTGTGCGCATAGCGCAAGGCACTGCGCGAAAAACTCATCTTGTTGAACAATTAATGGAAGATTAAATATTATTTCGTGCTGATCTTGCCAACTTTTGGCGCTAAAATAGGCGCCTGACAGACAGTGTGGGTAACGCGACAGAATGACGCTATTTTCCAACACTATTGGAACAGCTGTTGGTGGTCAGCTGGGACTTAAAATACAGAAATTTCTCCCCTTGCCGGTGGCTTGTTACAGCATTGTTTTAATTCTGCTATAACAATGTTAAGGAAACTAACTAAATTATCGACTTTAAAAGTGCGGAACGAGTTGCGACCTCTTGCCTCGTTGGCACAAAGCTCGCAAAATATTTTTGACCGTAACGCAAAGCGTTTGCAAAAGGAACGAGCCGCTCTCAGGTGAGTTTTTACTTCAAAAAAAACGAAAATCCGAAACAAAGTTTTACATTTAATAGCGAAGATGTAGGACTTTATGATTATCTCAAGGAGGAGGTGGGCTTCCGCCTGGCGGATCGAGTATTTGACATTAAACGTGAGTTCAAGGCGGCGGCGGATATTGGATGCAGCCGCGGCTACCTCTCCAAGCACATTCTGGCGGAGAGCGTGGAGCACCTGACGCTGACGGACACCAGTGCCGCCATGCTGCAGCAGGCCCAGGGCACTCCAGGCCTCAAAATGATAAAGCTGGTCAAGGATGAGGAGGATTTGGACGTGGGTAAATATGCTGTTGACTCTGCTTCACGATTATAAGCATGCAATTTCTACAGTTTGAGGAGAACTCACTGGATCTGGTCATATCCAGCCTCAGTCTGCACTGGGTGAACGACTTGCCCGGTTGCTTTGCCAAGATCAAGCGCAGTCTGAAGCCGGACGGCGTCTTCATAGCGTCCATGTTTGGCGGGGATACACTGTACGAGCTGCGCTCCTCCCTTCAACTGGCGGAACTTGAGCGTAAGGGAGGCATTTCTCCGCACATATCACCCTTCACCCAGATCCGGGATATTGGCTCTCTGCTTAATCGCGCCGGCTTCACCATGCTCACCATAGACACCGACGAGCTGGTCATTGGATATCCCAGCATGTTTGAGTTGATGTGGGATCTCAAGGGAATGGCGGAGAACAATGCGGCGTTCAATCGACCGGCACATCTCAGTCGGGAGACAATGCTGGCGGCCAGTGCCATCTACCAGGAGATGTATGCCAAGGCAGGCGAGAAGGGTATACCGGCGACATTTCAAATTATTTACTTTGTGGGTTGGAAGCCTGGTCCTAACCAACCGCAGCCCCTGGAAAGGGGTTCGGCTGAAGTATCGCTCAAGGATCTGGGCACAATAATCGAAAAGGGCGGGAAGCTAGACACCAAGGCGGGGGATTAAGTGTTGACAGTTTTTTTAGTTTTTATTTCGTGAAACGCAATTGAACATAAATATAAAACTTAAATAAATATAATTCCGTGTTGCTGAGAAACTTAGGCTAAATGATTCATCATGTTTCGTGGAAAGATTAATCATGAAATCAATTATAAATACTCATTTGTCAGTGTATTTTTTGGTTCGCATAACTATACATGTATATATAAATATCTAGCGTAATCATTCGATTTCTATAGCTATGTGTAGCTTTCAAGTAATTTTTGGTTGCCTTCCATCCGCCTTTACATGCTATTCGTGTTCATTTCATTTCATGGACGTAACTTTTTAACGTTGCTTTGTATTTTCGTTCGGTACGTAAATATATACAAGTACAATTTACAACAATTTCTATCCTCTATAATATAATATATATATATGCTTAGGTTTAATTCAATATGCAATGCAATTAAATAGATTTCTAACCGCTTTCTTTTAGTTTTGTATTAGATACGATTTGCTCTTGCTTCAATATATATTGTTCCTCTAGCATTTTTCTGCGTATGTAATTCTCGATTGCTTGTTTTCCGTTTATCAATTGTTTTAAACTCTAACTGTAACTGTTGTAAATTTAATTTGGCGCATCTATCCCAGCAACTGGTTCCCACCTTGCAAGCCATTCAATTTGTTCTCCGGCGGCGGCGTATATATATACAAAAATGGATTCAATTTGGACTGGAGGCCTGCTAGTGCTCCTAGTTCTAGGTCTAATTTCAGCGGTGGCAGGGCAAGAAGACTTAAGGCAAGGCAAAGGCAAACGACTGCTGATAGGACCAGGAACTAGGTTATCCCGCTCTGGTTCGCCGCCGCTGCCGATGCCTTTTGCTTTGCCAGTCATCCAAGCGCCAGCGGCGATCTCGGCGGAACTGGCGGCGGTGTCGGCGTGGCTCTGGGCGAAGATGTGGGGCTAACACTCGACGCTCCTCCACCTCCTCCGCTGACGGTTGTGGAAAGTGTGTGGCGGATATCTGCAGCTGCCTGCGCCGTAGACGTCGACGCAGGCGGCAGCCGTCAGGTGCCCAGGAGTAACTCACGCTGCGGTGTGTTGTTCTGCAGCATGTTGGCGGTTTTTAAGTGAACACTGCAAAAAATTAATATGGTTATTTATTGTGATTCGATACTATATTATATGAACTACTCACTTATTGTCCTCCAGCGACATGGTCTCCGACGAGCCGTGCGAGGCAACAGAAGTACCTGCAAGCGAACTTCTTATTGAGTGCGAGTCCTCGGGAACGGTAAGCGTAACTAATAAATTGCGTTTGCATGTACATATATGTTTTTCAGAGATTTTTTAATCGAGATTTCAATTTGTTTTTGCGAACGCGTTGTGGTCGTCAGTACCAATCCCAGTTCGTTGTCGTTGCCAATGTGGGTTGGAAAAGAGTTTTGGTTTTGGAATAAATTGCATTTAGTTTATTTTTGAGTTGTGAATGTGTAAAAATTTTGGTTAGCGGTGTTAGTGTTTGTTTGTTGTTTGTGAGGTGCAAATTGAATTGAATTTTGAACCAAAGAGAGCCTGAAACACATCTCTCTGGCAGTGTAAATTTTTACTATACAACTGTATGATAAAAAATATAATATAACAATAAAAATAAATTCCTATTTTCTACTCGGACTATAGGAAAATGTTAACCATTATAATTTGTAAGCAGCAAAGCGCGTGGGTCTCCTATAATAATATATATCATAAACATGCTGGCCAAAGTGGTTTCAGATCGTTTTCAGTACAAAATCATATTTATTTGTGTGTTACTTTTGCTAAGTATATATTATATATATTTATAATCATATAAATTATTCGCTAATCAAGGTTTACAAACTACCATTTTAATTTGGCTTTAACATAAACTAAAGTTGAGTTTCGTTTCTTTGTTTAAAGCAAAAATAAAGTAAATGCACATATAGCTTAAAGTACATAAGTATTACGGGGTATTAAGTATGTAATAAAGTGTGGAAAGTTAAGCGGTTACAATAAATTATTAATCGTTGTACGGAATCGTTGGAGTCTTAGGAATTATCAGGTTTTTTTTTGGAATACAAACTCTCTATTGGTTAGATAATATCAGAGAGTAAGAGTAAGAGGACAAGAAAGGTGGAAAAGAAGGTATAGATACAAAAACATCGATAAATGCTAGCAAATAACAATTTTCAATTTCCTGTCGATTTGACAAAAATACAAAAATTAAAGCTAAGTACGGGAAGATATTACGCTAGCGAATGTTCGAGGGTTTCATGGAAAAGGATAATCGTTATTGGCATATGCGTTTTATAAACCAAAGGAAGAAAAACATTTACTACATAAAGAAAGATTACGAATCAACTAAAATTAAAGGCGCGTATTCTCAACGCTCAGCGCATCATCGTCGTCGTCGTCGTCGTCGTCGTTGTTTGCTATGTGCGTGCCGCCGCCTCCATTTTGGATGATGTAAACCTTTTGGCTGCTGGGGGTCTTCGACGAGTGCATGTACACCTGCTGGCGCTGGAGCACCTCCAGGGCCTGATCCAGATCGAGGCGATTGCGACTATCGCTATCGCTGCTGAAGCTATGCCGCATGTGGTGCCCATTGGGCAGAGCGGAGGCTGTGGCTGGATGCGTTGGCTGCTGCTGCTGCTGGGCAAGATAACTGAGATTGTGGATACTCTGGCTGCGAGCTTGGTCTTGGGCACTCTCGGGAGTGGTCACCACAAATCCGTTGCTGTACAGCGAGTAGCTACTGTTTGCCGGCGAGGTGGCTAAACTAGTGATACTCTGAAAGGTTTTCATTGAGTATCCATCACCTACAGAACAACAGAAGCGATTGCGGATTAGGATCATATCTGATATCAGTTTGTGATTATTTTTTGTTTGCAGCTCCGATTTGCCGGGGAAGACGCAGACGCAGAGAAGCGATGGGAAACGGATATATATATATATGTACACGGAGCGGACAATGTTAGACAGTAATGGTTACAAGATGGAGCGCGTCCGGTTGATTACACATGACATGAACGTCGAGGGGCGTATTTAATAAGCGTATATATGATCTGGTTGTGGTTGTGGTTTCGCTTGGTTATTGGCTTGGCTTGGGCCCTTAAAAACTATTACTTTATACAATTAGACAGATAGAATTAGTTCCCATTTACAGTCTAGTACTTTATATATTTCACCCAGAACCACTATCCACACTCTTGCCGCTCCCAATTACATATGAGAGAGATGCTCTTAACCCACCCCGCCTCCAAGGTACAAAAGGTCAATATATTAGCATTTTATCCAATTATTAACGACTCTTCTGCCAATCGAAATGATGACGCGCACGTAGACTGGCGATGCATCGCTGAAAGTGGCTACGAACATAGTACGAACTCAAATAAAAGAAAATACTAGACATTGCTACTCAAATTAAACAAATAAACATATGCCATATCTAATATTCTAGAATTAAATAGGACTTTGTACATGGGGAATTACGAAATTACAAACTAAGGCAACGACGACGACACCAATTCAAGTTCGTTTTGGGGAACTGCTTGTGTTTACACGCAAAATTGTGATAAACTTGCACCACACAATACAAAAATAAATAGAAATAAAGAAATATTGCAGAGATTACAGATTGTTATAGAGTTACAGTCGGGTTAGAAGTGGGTTTGTTTGGAAGCAAGCATAAGTATTAGTAGATCAAGTGAGTGTAAGGATAAATGTGTGCTGTCAATGACTCACCCGTGGCGCACTCTGAAGTCTCGTACGACACCGTCGATTGTACCTCAATTGCGTTCTGTTCTTGCCTGCAAAAACAAAGTAAAAATTACCTAATCATAAGCCAGTTATCTTTAACTCAAAATCCCACCTTGATATCACATCTGTAATGACTTGCTTCTCGTTGTCTGTATAATCGTTGCGTCTGCGCCCAATCTTCTTCTCCATATCTGCCTCGACAAAGTCGCCCAGCTTGCGGGAGGGGAACTCATTCGACTTGGCCGGCGGCGGCACGTCCAGCTTCAGGTCCTTGAGCTTCTTCATTACACGCTCCAAGGCCTGAATGGCATCGTCGTCGTTGTAGCCAAAGTTCTTGTGCAGCTTCACTTGCAAGTACTCAATGATGGCGTCCATGTCCTTCAGACGGATCAGTTCGTCCTTGTGCAGATAAAGAATGGTGATGGCCATTGACAGTATGACGCGATCGCCGTCCAGCATGAAAATATCCCAGACGCGGAGGCTTAAACTAAACGGAACGCGCTCCACGAAGACGACAAAGAACCACTTGATGGCGTAGAGCAGGGCGTCAACGTTGTGTTTGGTAAAATGCTTGTGTAGCTTGCGCATTATTTTGGACATGATGCGGTCGTGGTGGGCAATAAAGCGCGTCAGCTTGGGAAATCCCTCAATGAACAGGCCGTGCATGCCGTACTTTGGATCCGTAATCAGGGTGTTTAGTGCCCAGAAGGCTTCCTCCTCCTCGACCATGTAGAGCAGCAGGACGCCGGCCACACAGGCCATACCTTGGCAGTAGCCCAGCTCCGAGTTGTAGATACTGTAGGCATTGAGCACGTTGAAGAGCGACACCTGCTTGGTGCAGTAGCGCTCCCGGTAGGCAAGATTGTCGCGAAACTGACGGTTTACATCCGCATCGATCTGGCGCGCCTCCGTCGAATATTTTCTCGCCAGCTGTAGCATGCGGGCATAGACGCCAACATTGCTGGCAATCGAGTGCTCGACATTGAGCAGACGCTTCCACGCTTGCCAGCGCACGCGATCCGGTATGCCCTTGTAGACACGCTTGTGAAGCTTGTCCGCGGGCGGCGGCCAGTGGCCGAGCATCTTTAGCCACTTCTTGTCGCGTTCCGCCTCGATGTTGTTGCGGTGCAGCTCCTGGGCGTTGCGCGTCGTCGGCAGTCGAGAGTCGTGCATGAATCCATATCTGCGGAAAACCGGGTATCGTATATATAAGAAATAAGGGAAAATGCACTGGACTAAGGGCACCTACTTGTCGGTTATGTGGTAGATCTCGAATGTGGGATTCTCCCAGGAGTCTACCACGTTGCTGGGATCCAGGCCCAGTTCGTACCGCCTGAAGATTTCCTCGCGCTCATCCTCTGCTCGCTTGACAAGCGCCTCCTGCTGTTCCCCTTCGTCCGTCATTTTAGGAACAACGGATTAGCTGTAGCTGGAGGAGGAGAAGGAGGGGCAGCAGTCAGAGGAGAAGCAATCGGAGGGGGTGGTAGCCAGCGTTGGGGTTTCCACGCTCTCAGTTGGGGAGCGGCTACTTCTGCTGCTGCTTCTTCGCTGGCTGGGCGATAGCGCGAAACTTTGATAAAGACAAAAGCAAAGCAGGCATTATTATTAACAATTGTAATCTATAATTTATGCAAACAGTCATCGCACACGCTTACACACTCACTCACACACACGCACGTGCATGGCAACGCGCTACTGTCGCATGATATTTAAATGCAGCCACAGAATCGATTTCACTGACTAAAACACCAATAAGAAAGACAACGAATGAACGAATGAGCGTGGCAGAAATGACGTGATTTTCCACAATATTCAAATCACAGCGCATCAAAACATGACAGCAGCGCAGGCAACCGACAAGTAACACGCCCCCTGAAATCGCAGCGAAAGCGGTCTAGATAAATTTAATATAAGAAAGCAAGCCCCTGGTCGCCACTATTAGTCAGTTATTTTAATGCACTTTATGTTTTATCGCTCACACACTTCCTGTTTTCGCTGCGATTTGTTGTATTTTTGTCAACACAGAGCCACTCACGCACACACACACGTACGCGCATAGCCACAGAAGAGAGTGCTTGTTTTGGGACTGCTTTCACCGAAAACTATTCGATCAATCGGTCCGATCGGATTGCAGCCGCTTTACCATTTAATTTTGTTTTATATATTCCTATTATCCGCGCCGATCCAGGGTGTTTTGCAACTTATTTTTTCACAATTTTAACGCGGCTGCATGTTTTCGATTGTTACAAGCGATAGATCAGCGAAAACATCGATTGTATTTGATAGAGTTGCCAGACTGATTAAATTAATTAGAGATGAGCGAAGCTTAGAAGTTCTAGTGCGATAGTATTTACAGTAACTTCGTAAATAAACATAACATAAAAACACATGTATTTTTTAAAAACTTCGCTAGGTCACAGAAACATCGACATTTTTGAAAAGAAAAAATTTAATATCTTTTGAAAAATTAATTGCAATGTAACATATCATATTTCAAAAATGCATATATCGCCTTTTTAAAATCGTCGATAGGTCGAAAGCAACTTAGACGTTTTTGTAAACAAAAAATATCATTTCATTTGTTTTTTGTAAATTATCTTAATATTAAAGAAAAATTAATTGAAGCGGAAAAATTACCGTTTGAAACAAAAAAACATCATATATCTTTATCATAATCATAATCATAATCATAATCAATAAAGAAAAAATATTTGCAACGTAAAATATCATATCTTAAAACTTCGATAGATCGACAGCAATTTAGACGTTTTTGTAAACAAAAAATATAATTACTTTATTTTTTTTAGATTATCTTTGTATTAAAAAAAAAATGAAATGAAACGTACAAATTACGGTTGAAACAAAAACAAATCATATTTTATTATTATAATTGAAGAATTCAAAACAAAATGATATTAATGAAAAAACCGGGTTTTAAACCAAGTTCTAAAATAAAAAATTTTCTAAACATTGGTCACGAACTGATATTTTTCAACCGATAGTTCTGCTAAAATTATAATCACTGATCATGATGCAAGATTTTATCTATCATGATGAACAAAAAGGGAACGTAAAAATGCTACGCTAATGGCGGAATGTATTATAAAGCAACAAAAAAAAAATATATATATGCAAGCAAAAAATCGATGTTTTGAAAACAATATCCAAACATCGATAGTATCGATAGTGCTCCGATGCCAGCACTAGTATATAGGTTTAATTGTGCTCGAAAAAAACGGAGTTAAAGTGAATGTCCGCGTCCAGCAAAAGTACTCAAAAGCATCCAGATCCAAGCTAGGCAGCTTGGGCCACCAAGAAACTAGGGACAAGCGATGCCAATGCAACAATAATATCAATTAAACGGGTACGAAGCAAGGCCAGTTCCATGGAAGTGCGTAGAGCTGAGTAGAATTTCGACCAAAAACCAAAAAAAGAGGAAAAGAGACGCTCAATAGAGCGCACATATACATGGCGATATTTACGATATATATATGCATATTCACGATTGGGAAAACTAACAAATGCCCTATTTGTTGTTGTGTACATTCCGTAGCTTTTCGTAGACGCTGTTGCCGAGAATTAATTCTGTCCATTGCCATAGACCAGCAGTAAAACGAGCCTCCGAGCCCCAACGTCTCTGGGAAGATGGTGTCCACCCGCCAAATGTGCGGCAGTGCCGCCAATGGAAGCCCTTCAGCCTCGGGATCGGGTTCGGGAACTGCAGAGTCGCAGGAGGTGGTACCTGCTGGTATCCCTCCCTTGCCAGTCGCCCTCCAGGAGCCCGAATCTACCGCAGCCCGTACTTCTGTCCTGCGGCGGACGGCCAGTTATCAGGGCAATTCCGGCCAGTCACCGGCTAGCCTGGCCTTCTCCGCCAGCGTGGTGACGCGCCACCACTCGTACAATATCCAGATGCAGCGGAGCGAGGGTCCCTCGGTCTCCGGCGTCCCAGTGAAGGTTACTTCGGTTGGGTTGTTGGATTTGCCCAATGAACTGATTGAGAAGATTCTTGGCTACGTGGACTACAAGAAAATCTCACATCTCAGAATGGTAAGTGCAACCTGTGCCCCCTAATGCCCCCCCTCTCTCTCTCTCACTCTCTCTTCAAGCGCTGGTGGCTATTAAATCAATAAAAAGCAATTTCCCAAGTGCAGGCGTGTGGGACGGGCGGAGAGTTGGTTATCCAACGAACCCAGCAACTACCTGCACTCGTAGTCGGCCTGTGCCATGGGTCTCTTGGTATTATTTTCGCGCCGACATCATCGGGCCTGTCCCATGCGTTCCCTCGGTGATGTTCTGTCCCTCTCTTGGCAGGAGGCAATTAAAACTTTGTCACGAGGGCAGAGCACATGCACTTGTGATTGTTTATATTTAGCGAAGCAATATGCTGCTGATCTTGATTTCCACGGGGAGGGTGAATCATATCCATAGGTATCTTTAGTGGTTTATACAAGGCAGCTAAACCTTTCAGTAAATCACACAATGACATTAAACAGACAACCAAACCATGACTATATGACTTTAACAACAAGCCCTTCCTAAAGTTAACCATAAATGTATCTAGGCATTTTTAAGCCGGCATGCGTAAATAGTGAAGATAAACGTTTGTGTGGCTTTGGCAGGTACAGATATTCGACAGGCTTTGGCTTTAAAAATACATTATTTTCATGTATTTTAAAAATTGTTAAGGCTAAAGTTAAGTGAGTCGTACTTGGTTATGTATTTAACTTAAATGCGAATGAAAAATATCACATGATATAATAATATTTTCAAAATATCACTAAACACTGTCTAGATAAAAGAATCTCAATTTAAAGAATTGACATTAAATAACTCCATAGCATTTAAAACGCTTTATATGTTAAATAAATCCAATATAAATTTTCTTAAAAATACTTTAAAAATAATCATTTTTGTTTGACATGATAATTAAGCATAGCAATAATTTCGAATGAATTATTTTTGGTTCAAGACCTTGAGGAAGGTATCTACACCTCGGTGTGTCTTTGTGTTTTTTGGTCTTGATGGCATTTTTGCCTGCACCATGCTTCTTCCCCCTCCCTTTTCCCTGGCCAGCCACTGGTGTGTGTATGTATGCAGCGGGGTTATTTGTCGTAGGTAGCGGCGACAAATGTAATCTGATATAATTTAATAACAGGCAGAACCACTGAACCTGAAAAATCTCGGGCCCAAAATTGTATCGGCACTTTATTCAAACTCTTATATTTTGGATGTTCCTCCGTTTGTTTGCAGGTGTGCCACCGCATGAACGACATTTGCATGGCCATGCTGAACGCCGCCTTCTCCAGGCAGATCAATACCACGTTCAGCCGCTTCCAGGCCATCAAGGCGAGCATGCCACGGCGGGAGTCGGCTCGACGCAGTCATCCGCTGGCCTGTCAGTGCGACATCATCGAGACGTGCTACATGCGCCTCTCACTGCTGCAGATGTCAATGGGCAAGCACATGGAGCGGGGTCATTGCTGTTTCTTTCCTGGATCCGTAAGTCAAGCTCTCGAACTAATTGGTTTACATTTTATAATATGGACAACTTCCACAGATATTGGACGAGGTACACGGCATTTTGAACTATATCAATTTTACGCCTCAGCTGCAGCGACCTTATCGGGTGACCGATGAGCTCTTCGATCTCTCCACCATGGCGATGGAGTACTTTAAGGACCGCATTGAGCCGACACTTCCCGGCCTGGCGTACTTTAACAAGGACTTCTTTACGCTGCCCACCACCACCAAGCGACGTAAGCTTATAATCCTCCGGGTTTAACAGTCGGTGTCATCAGTACTTTCCCCCACAGCCACGCTTGCCATCAGTTCAGATCTCGAGGACAGTGCCAGCAATTCGCCGCCTCAGAACCACATGGTGCTCCGCAAGGGCATCCGCAAGATCAAGCAGGGCATGAAGATCTACAACAACCAGCTGTCGGTGCTGCGCACTGAACTTCGCACCTGCAAGCGCAAGGCCGCCGAGCAGGGCAAGCAGCTGGCCGAGCAGCAAAATCTCTTGGCGGAGCAGCAGAAGCAGACGCTGGAGTATGCAAATCGGTTGGACGAGAATGACAAGAAGAACGAGGAGATGACACGCAAGTTCTCCACTCTCCTGCAGGTTTGTAAATATCGTTGCATTTAACTCAAGTGCTGGCATTAATTTTCCTTTGAGTTCGACTTGCGCAGGAGCTCAACAAGTGCAAAACCGAGCTGCAGTTCTGGCGTTCCAAGAGTCCAGCCATCCCGGTAATGTGCAGTTCGTGCAATCAGAAAGTGACGCCTCTGGTGCCGCCAGAGGATTTCCAAGTGCTCATTAACCAGGGCGTTGATCCGGAGCACATAATCATTAGCAATGAGGACGCTGACGCCGAGGAGAGCGACGTGAGCGTGGGTGAGATGAAGGAGTTTGCCTCGCCGGACGAGTCCACCACAGCCAAGCTGCTGGCCGTTAGCACTGCAGCCAAGAATCAGAAGCGCAAGCTTCCGTCAGAGCCCCAGTCGTCCAATGCCATTGCGTCCACATCGAAGCAAGTGGAGGCCGTCCAATCCCAGCCACAGCCGCCGGCTACAGTTAATGGGGGTGGAGCAGGAGGAGCTGTTAAGGCCGCCGCCGCCGGAGGATACTCGCCGAAGCTTTTCTATGGCAACCATCAACGCAGCGGCGTGATTGTAAGCCTCGTCTCCATGAAGTCAACGGCAGCTCCGCCGGAGGCATCTGGATCGGAGGCAGCTCTCGAGGAGCCGGAAGAGGCGAAGAAAGCACGTAGAGTACAAAAGGCCAACAGATATGTAAATACGTCGTCTGGCAAACGCAGTAAGCATTAGGACATACGCATATATACACTTTACATATTTTTTACCACTTATTTACATAAACGAAACCACAAATAAAGAACACGTCCATGCCCCACGCTCTCATCTGGCTGGGGCAGGCGTCATGTAGTGTTAAAAGAAGAATCAAATATATACACATATATCTATTAACGTCAAAATGCATTAGGCATTGCGAATATTATCATTATAATTATTATTATCAAGTACAAGAAGTGTGTCTGTATGTTCTTCGGTTTTAATGACCCCCTTTCCCCACAAAAAGAACAACTCAAGTTAACCAATAAAACACACAGAACACCATAAAACACACTCGTCGAATACAGTAGTTATTGGCAGAGCAAACAAAACAGATAATAATAATTTAAAAGCAAATTAATTTTAACTAAGAACCACAAGAAAAGCAAAACAAAAACGGCAAAGAAATATTTTAAATAAAACTTTAAAAGCATTTGAAATCAAAAGGGATTTCCCGTTGGTTTTTTGTACAAAAGAAATACATTTATTTACAAATTAACAAGGTCAACAGAACAGAACAGACATTTTGTCTTAATTTATAGCTTTTGGGAGCGATCCCCTCCAGCTAGTGGCTTGTTGCGCTCATCCCACAGTGTGACGCCATCGCAGGCACAGATTCTCTTAAAGTTTTCCAGTATACCAGCGGAACGGGCAATTATCCCACAGGCAATCCTGCAGCGAACTTTAACCATAAAAAAATGTAGCAAAAATAAGGATATACTACGAACCTGTCCCCAGAGTTGCCATCGATGAGACTCTGTTGGTTGCCACCGCTTCCTAGGTCATCGGCACTGGCTGTTATCACAATGGCCCTGCCAATGATGTCCCATACCTCCAGGATAGGATCCACAAATCGGAATGTGGCTCTGCCGCTCTCATCAGCCCGAATGTTGCCCAGGTCGCCGGCATGGCGTTCTGCGGCCTCTGCTGTTTGACTTCCGTGCGGCGACTGGCGGGGATTATAGTGCGAGCCAACGGAGGCGCATCCAGCGGACACATCGCCGCTCTCGTGGATGTGGAAACCGTGCAGACCGGGCGTCAGGCCATCAACCACGCCATCTACCACTACTCCAGGCTCCCGTGCCGTGATCGTTGTGAAACGCACTACACCCTGGACGGGCGTTCGGTCCACAACACTGCCCGTTGTATTGATGAGAGCCACAGCCGACTGGCCGCCGAATCCTGATAGCACCGCCTTGCGTCCGGTTGCCTCAATCTTATCGTGCACCTCTGACCAAGGTCGTTGGGTCTGGACAATCACTCGTCCCTCATTGGTGTCGATTTCCACCTGGCCTAATCCATCCAGTGCTGTTCGGAGCACGCTGGCGTACGCCTCGTCATCTTGGCGCATCTGAACTGCAAATTCAATCTAAACTTTAACATAAGAACATGCCTCCTGGTCGCTAATTTACCTTAATGGAGCTCATTTTGATGTTAAAAAATGCCGAACAAGAATGATAAACAAACTTTGGCCCTTTGGAGCTTTAATCGGGAAATCGATTTTTATTTTTTACTGGTCTGGTCACACCTAAATCGATAAGAACTCGACATACAATTCCTTACGTCCGTTAAACTAGCGTCGAAATGGTAAAATGGAACATGGGGAGATCTTTAATTTTTAGTTTATTTCGTAAGTTTGGTAAATATTTCAATTTATTTTTAACCGTCAGATTTCAAGAAAATTCCAGAACAGTGGGTGGTGTTTTTGGGCTGATAACTAAGGCGCGAACTATGAAAATGGAACCAGATGGAAACCTGCTGGGAACCACTCGCTGAACCAGACCATGAACCCATAATAAGAAAAATACTAAATTAAATAACAATAGCAAATTGTTGAATAAAACATTAAGAAAAGTGGAATTAAAAACAATTTGGTTGGATTTTAATCTAAATCAGAGAAAATTACCTATTTCGTTCTTTTTCGATTAATTTAGTATAAGCCACGGCAAAATCGATAGCCCGCCAGAAAATATTCCTATTGACCATTTAAACAATTGTATAAAATAAGCAAGCCTCGTGAATGGAATCGACATTCCAAGCATTTTGGTAGATGTTTCATCAAAATTGGTTCAGCCGATCAAGAGAAAACAACAATTTTCATTTATTTCCATAAATGTTCCTAGAAAGAATAAATATATCTGGCAGCACTGCCTGCCTAAAATTAAGCCAATTTAATTTAAGCTTTATTGTATAACTTATGCAAAATGAATAATCCTACCATTAACGGGATCGCAATTCTGAACATTTTGATCCATGTTTCATCAAAATCCGTTCAGTCGTTCATAAGAAATCCCGACTTTTTCATTTATTTCTATTTATGTGCCAGCGAAGAATAAATATATCCGGCAGCGCTTCCTGTTTAATAAGTCTTTTTGATTTTAACTTTATGGTTAAACCTATGCAACAGGAAGATAAAATAATAAACGGCATCACAGCTCTGAACATTTTGATCCATGTTTCATCAAAATCCGTTCAGTCGTTAATGAGAAATCCCGACTTTTTCATTTATTGCCATAATTGTATGTACATACATATGTGTGTATGTTCGGCGAAGAATATTAAATAAAAAAATGTGATTTAAACTTAATGGTAGGACGTATGTCTGCAAAAGGAATAAACGGCATTGTAGTTCTGAACATTTTAATCCATTATATACTAGTGAGAGTATATAGAAGACTAACTGCAAAGTTTTATTTAGATGGATGTAAATATGAGGGTCTAGTTTGCATATTATTGGACTGATAGACAGACGGACATAGCTAGATCGACTCTGCTGTTGATGCTGATCAAGAATATATATACTTTATATGGTCGAAAATAATTTATTCACAGCGTTTCAAATTTTTGACTTGAAATCATTTTACAAAGCAAGGGCATTGAAGCACTAGATTTGAAAAGCAAATTTTCGAAATAACATTTAATAGTCTGTTCAATAAATTATATCGTTATTCTAAGCAATTTGGTAGATGTTTCATCGAAATCCGTTCAGTCGTTTTGGAGAAATTAACATTTGAATTAGCAATTTATATACAAAGCAGGCGTGACTATGCATCCCTGGTACCCAACTGCAATAATTGAAAAGTCCAGATTTGTCATTAACGACTGAACGGATATTGATGAAACACAGATCAAAATGTTCAAAACTGCAATGCCGTCTATTGGACACTCTTCCTTTTGCATAGGTTTAACCATAAAGCTTAAATTAAATTCTCTTGTTTTTAGGCAGGCAGGGCTGCAGGATACATAAATGGAAATAAATGAAAAAGTCGGGATTTCTTATGAACGACTGAACGGATTTTGATGAAACATGGATCAAAATGTTCAGAATTGCGATCCCGTTAATGGAAGGATTATTCATTTTGCATAAGTTATACAATAAAGCTTAAATTAAATTGGCTTAATTTTAGGCAGGCAGTGCTGCCAGATATATTTATTCTTTCTAAGAACATTTATGGAAATAAATGAAAATTGTTGTTTTCTCTTGATCGGCTGAACCAATTTTGATGAAACATCTACCAAAATGCTTGGAATATCGATTCCATTCACGAGGCTAGCTTATTTTATACAATTGTTTAAATGGTCAATAGGAATATTTTCTGGCGGGCTATCGATTTTGCTTATGGGAGGGCATAATCATTCCGCCGTGGTATATACTAAATTAATCGAAAAAGAACGAAATTGGTAATTTTCTCTGATTTAGATTAAAATCCCTCCAAATTGTTTTTAATTCCACTTTTCTTAATGTTTTATTCAACAATTTGCTATTGTTATTTAATTTAGTTTTTTTCTTATTATGGGTTCATGGTCTGGTTCAGCGAGTGGTTCCCAGCAGGTTTCCATCTGGTTCCATTTTCATAGTTCGCGCCTTAATTATCAGCCCAAAAACACCACCCACTGTTCTGCAATTTTCTCGAAATCTAACTGTTAAAAACAATTAAAATTTTCACCAAATATTTGTTAAACTTCCTCTAGTAATCCCACATGCTGCACGCGAAGACGCCAAAAGGAAAAGACGTCATCTACTTTTAAGCCCAGTAAAAAACAATTGTAAATTAATTTTTTAGCATTTAAAAACTATATTTTATTTGAATTATGCCTTACTTACGAAATAAAATAAAAATTTAAGATCCTCCCATGTTCAAATTTCCCACCGTTCCATTTTGACGCTAACTCCTCGACGCTATTTTGACGGACATCAATTCCCTGCCAGCCGATGGCGTTGCCAGATTTTAAATTTGGCGCTCGATTTAAAATTCAATCTACATTGCCGCTAATTTGTGTGCTAATTTGTTGGACATAAAACTCCATTCAGCTCAAATTACGCCTTATCATTTTTCTTAACCTTTTTGTTTTATTTCTCGCCAGCGGTTTAATCAATGGCCATAAAGTATATTTTTAAGCGAAATGCTGCTAATTTTTGGAAATTAACAGCGCTAATTGAAGCGTCCTAAGCGCTAACTTAAGCGACAGATGGGTATGTCTGCTCAAAGTTAAAGAACAAATAAAAAAAACCTAATAAAAACGTGCAACAAAATTGCGATGAAGCTTTTTCATGCGCGGCACATTCATTGCAACAAATTGCGTCTTTGACTTTCAATGTGCAAAATAAATTAATTTCACTTGGAGACCGTTATTGACGGCAATTTAAAAACAATTGAGATATATTTAATTCGCCCGCCATGTTGCGATCAATTGAAGAAATGTAAAAGGAATCATCATGACAGGGGATTGATGTCGATTCCCGTCCAATTTCCAAAATTCAGCACTGCGCGAATGGCTTCTATCAATTAAGACTAAATTAGCACAAAGTAGGCATCGTGAAATGAATGAAAATCGGTGCACAGCTAATTAGTCGAAATGAGTAGTAAGTTATTAGGTCCACCCTAGCAATAGATCGGCGATTCGCTCTGAACAACGCTCCCACACAAGTCCCCATAAACAGGTGCAGCTCTCTTATCTTTTTCTTGGCCTACTCTCTTTACTGAGGTCTGCTCTTTAAGCAATGGAGACTAACGGCAACAGCTGTTCTTGTTGATAAATATCATTCTTTGTTGCTATTTTCCATAGCCTACAAATGCAAGTCAGGCCCCAAAAAAGTGGGTTGCCATGGAACCCAGTCGAGTGGGAGCGAGATGGGGCTATTAAAAGGTCGCCAAGAAAGTGCGTGCCATAGCAAAATTGCTATTTGCCTTTTGCCTTTGTTTTTATTGCATTCCACACACGCACGCACACTGTCGCACTGCAGCAAAGAGCGCCGTTGGAACCGCGAGAGCCAGAGCGAAAAAGAGATAGTAAGAGCGCCCGGGGAGAGATGGGAGAGCGAAAGAGAGTATGGCTTACTAGTCGTATACTTATTATTAATATTAGCGTGAGACACCAAATCGGTATAGTACTTTTTAAACCATTGGCGTTAAAGCACATGTTTAGCATTTTATGCGGAGTGTAAACTAATCTGAAAGAGCAACAACTACAACTACAAATACAACAACAGCAGCAGCAACAGCAACAGAAAAAATATTAACACGTTGACGCTTTTTGTGTTTATCGCGAGCGGAAAAAAGCTTAATTAGCGAGCGGACAAACTCTTTTTGGCTGGCCGAAAACTTATTTTCTTTGAGTGCCAAATACGTCATCGACGCGCGCATTGAAAATCGGTCCACACACACAAAGGCGAGCAGCATAGAATTGAATTGAATTGCAGGAGCAACAAAAGCAACAACGCCCAATCAACGCAAATCAAGGAAAAGTTTCACACACAAACTCGAATTAATTAATTTGTTTTTGTATCTGCGCTAGTTCTTCGTCTTTTTTCTTCTTCGCCTTTGCCGTCCCATTCTTCTCCCCGCCAGGCTTTGCCATTCGCCGCGAAGCGCTGACAAAGAAGACAAAAAGAACGTGCAAAACAGCTGAGCTGAGACCGAGAGTACCGGAACGTAGCGTCGCCGTCGGCAGCAAGCAACAAAGCAACAAGTGCAGCAGCAGCAGCAACAATAACACAAAGCCCTTTCAATTGAGAGCCCAAGAGAGTGTGTGCGAGTGTTCACATTGTTGTTGCCACAATCAATTAGAGTGATAGCAGACGGCAGAGCACCAGCTTCGGCAGAGCAGCAGCAGAAGCAGCAGCATCAATTTCGCTGGCAGCAGCAGCAGAAGCAGCATCATCTTCGCATCGCATCTTCGGGCTGGCTTAATTCCGAAAGTGTATCTGTGAGCGTAGTTGCTCCCGTTCCGCCTCCGTAATCGCAAGTGGCTTGTTGTTATTGTCGCACTCGGTCGATCTCTCTGTGTGCCTGTCTGTGTGGCGGCAGCCAGCGCTAGCGCCGTCGGCTCTTGATTGGGCTTGTTTGATTCCGAAACTGTATCCCGTAGTTTCCCGCTAACGGCGAAAATTCACACAACTCATTGATATTTTAACCTCGTGTCCGCGTTGGCCGCCGCTCGACCAAGGTTCTGCCGCACAAAATGCTCGTCTCCTTGGGCTCTCCGAAGCCTGGCTTCGTCGGACTAAAAGTGCTCCTCTAGCACGCAGCGAGCAGTCCGCCGTACATAACACATAAAAGTCAAACTCTTCGCGAAAGGCAGAACCCAAAAACCCTAACTGTATATAACCCACTGAATTGGCAGCAAAAAAAAAAGTTATCACCACTTCACCAACCAAATCGTAATCGCTATCGTTATCGCGAGACAAGAAAAATAACAACAACAAAGTTAAAAGATAATATACAGTGTGCAAATCGAGGCAAACAAAAACTCCTATTCTCTTGCTAATGAAATCGGAGCGCTTTTTTATGAATAATTAGCCCCCCAAAAAACCCGTTTAGTCGCCGCAGAAATTAGGCCCCCCCCCATAAAGGTGACGACGACGACGATCCAAGAAACTGGCATCCATCTCGCTGCCGCTGATATATAACACCCCAATATACTCACAGGCGTAAAGTGCAAAAACGTAAAACCGCGATAACACCCATACACTCGCGAGCAGAGCGAAAAATCCGATCAGCAAATATATCAACTTCACAGTAACGTCGGAAAGTCAGTGCAAGTCAGAGCTAAATCGTCGAGCGTTCCGAATAGTTGTGTCTAAACAAATCGTCTTGAAAATATAATCAGTTATCAGTGATCAACATCGGTCTTCAGAAGTGTACAACTGCGAAATAATGTCAGCCTTCTGACAGTGTCCCCAAAAAATAATAAAGCCCACACACACAAAAGTTACATAACGCGAAAAATAAATCCTATTTTCGGAAGCGAAATATAAGCAAGAGGAGACCTAGCGAAACCCTACAAGTGACTTGTTAATTGAGAATGTCGCCAATCTGACAGTGACTAAATCAACACAACACAACATAATACAAAAAACACCCCAAAAAGAACTCAAATCACTGTTTGAAAATATAATATAAAAAAAGAACAAATATCAGCGTCACAAGCATTACAACAGCGAAAGAAATAATATCAGCCAACAAGGAGTGCAGCCTGTGTTATCAGTGAAGCATATGTATATACTTACATATATAGTCGATTCAAAGCGTAAACAACTGCTGTATAATGTTCACCGCCATCTGACAGTGGTCTAAAAAACCAACAAATAGAACTACTAACTAATAGAGCGTCGAGGGATCGCCGCTGATATATAGACAACAAGTCTAACACGTGCCACGTGTGGGATCTGTATCGTACCACCCACCTTCCATTCGCACTGCAGCAAGTAACGTGAATTCAGCGATAAATGGAGAAATCTGAAATACGACTGCAGCGCATGTCAAATGAATATCAGTCGCAATCGAGCTATATGTATCTCCGGACCAAGATGCTGTTAAAAATCGAAAATACCCTACTTCGAAGCCATCGTCAGCGCGAGACCACCGGTATCAAGAAACTATACAATTCGTTTTTCGTATTGTTTTAATTTGCCCCGCCCGGCCCCCGATCCCCCTCCGAAGGCCCCAAGGACACATTACGCACAACGCAACAATTCCAATTCCACTCAATTGTGAGCCAAGCTAGAGAAAAGTTACAAAAAAAAAGCAAGTTATACATGTTTTACCTATCTTAAATATATATGAATAAACTAGAGATATTATTTGGTTGTTAGTAGAACTCAACGTCAAGTGCATATTGTTAGCCCTCGTATATCCAAGTGCTGTGCGACGAACGATTAGTAAAGTGTGTCATATGAGCATTTTGAACAAGCCAAAATGTTAATCTAAGCAAAAAGCCGTAATTAAGTCTCCGAGTCGATCAATAACTGTTTCTACTTCGAATATTACTATTACAATCACCTTTTTTGCATTTCGTGTTGCATCGGAAAAACTTGAGCAAAATTGCTGCTGGCGAAGGTCCGGTCGGAACGGTAAAAACTTTGGTCGCCCAAATATATATCGTATCTTTCGGTTGAAAAACAACAAGAAGACTTCAATACTCCAAAACTAACAAGGAATAAGGGAACAGAAAGCGATTACAACGCCTTTTAATTCACATACCGAATGGCGCTTTCGTTTCTATCGCAAAACTCCGGTCTGTTGGATTTACAAAGCATATTTGATCCACAATATTCTCATCATCAACAACAACAACAACAACTACAACATTTGAGCCACCACCCCCAACATCATATTCAACAAAATCAACAACAAAATCAAAACCAACAACAACAAGCGGAACAAATTTTACAACATCAACAATCGCGCATCCTTTCAACAAAGTTCGATTTGAACCTATTCAACGAATTCGACCAAATGGAATTCAACAATAATTTAAATCGCAATCAATATCAAACCAACAACAATAATAATAATATCAACAACAATCAGAATCATAACTCCAACACCAACACTAATAACAGTGTGAGTGAAAATCTAAATCAGGTGAGTCCAAAAGTCATAAACAAAAGAGGGTTGACAGGTTTTAATAGGTTACAGAATACATTGAGAGGAATTTGTTAAAAGGGTAAAAATTTGCTTTTATAAATTAGATAAAGACCAATGGGGGTTTAATGAATTACTGTAATATTCGGTCTATTAAACTATTTCCGAGCTTAGTAAGAACATCCCATTGATTAGTAAATCTAAAGAATTCAGACTAATTATTATAACGACATATTTACACAACTGTTTTCCAAGTCATCTTTAATAAATAGATTTTTTTTTTAATGGAATGTCCTACATAATAGTCAGTGAATCAAGAAAACTTTTTAAGATCCCCTGCTTATGAGGCTCTCCAGCTAGTTCTGTTTGCCTTGAGGCAAATATAAATATATAGTTCAATTGCTAATTATACTATACAGTGCGGGGTGTATCATATAACAAAGTTGTGGTGGACAGATAGAGGGAAAACAACAGAACAGCGCTTAATAAATAGTTGCAAACGAATGTTACGTCACCAGTTCCGACTCACTCGCACTCAATCCCACCCAATCCTCGAGGTATCCAAGAGTAGATACTTTTGTTTACCTTCTTTATTTTTGGAATTTCTCATAAATATAGCTGCATGTTCTGTATCTTCTTTGCCCAGCTCTTCAAGCTGTGTCTTTTTCCATTTGTTTACACACTGCGAGCGTGTTCGAACTTATCTTTCTCCTAATGGAACCAAGCCAAGTCAGAGTCCTCATCTGCAAATAAACATCACAAAATGCAATGAATCGATGGGTGTTTTTCTGGCTCTCTCTGGCTCCGGGAGAGGAAGAGGGATTGGGAGAGTAAAGCCGAGATTGTAGGCGACCTTATCAGCAAGGTTCGGACCCACATATAGTATTTCAGCTGGACTGTAGAGATAATGGTGAGAGGGCATAGCCTCGATGGCGGCTAGACACGCTTTGTTGGTGCTTTTGATTCGGTTCCAGAATTGATTACGCCGTCGAAATTCAGTTTTCGAACTAAAAGCCTCTCCGTTCGTTTTCGGTTTTCCAGATCCAGAACCGCCACTTCATCAGCGGCTACCACCATCAGCATATTGGGTCGGATTATGAGCAAGTGATCAACTTTGTTGACTCGCCGCCAAACTCCGAGGAATCGTGGACAGGTAAGGCAGCGCCAATCAGTTCAATCATCCGTCCAGCTCAGCTCACCTCATCTGAATCACCAACCTTCCTCCATCGCCATCATTGAAGAGACCAGCTCTTTAATCGAACAAATCACCATTGTCGTAGACGCCCAATCGAAGGACTCGCCGGGACCGCAGATCATCGACGTGCAAACCATTTACCTGAACGGCGGCTCACGCAAAAGACGAATGGATTGGGATTCCCTGGACATTGGCCAAAGTGAGAACTCACCAACAGCATCGCAAAGTGGCGAGCTGCCCACGAAAGTGGCCCACCAGGAGAAGGATAAACACAAGCGGGAGAAGAACTCGGGTAAGGATCGATATAGTAATCCATATTTTATCAGGATATATATTTCACTGAGTGTCTTTATAATTGATAGAACACATGAAAGTAGAGAGATATATCTTGATCTACTATTCAATATAGATTGTGATGAGATACTATCAAAAAAGCCTGTTTTTAATCTGAGGTTTTAGTTTAAAGTTTCCATTTTCATTCTTAAATTTTTATTAAGAACCAGAAGCTTATGTCTAAATGCAAACAGGTTAGCAAATGCTTTAATGATTGATTGATAAATTAAAAGTCTAAATTTGTCACACTTTTCAGATAAAAAGTTTAAATATTAAAAGTTATTCATTTAACGACCATAAAAGCTTGAATTAAACCCAGAAAGATGGCTACAAAAGTGCGATTATGATGATAGCTGCTGATTTGCATAAAATGTGTGTTGGAGTGACCCAAAATCAATGAAAGCGGCTAAAAAGAATGAAAGAAATTGCGACTGGTATTAAGACTTCCTCCTCGGATATCACTGAGGGAGCAAGTCAGAAACCCGTTCCCGTTCACCGTCCCTTCACGTTTCTTGGCCAAATTAGAAGCCGTCGTAATTGAGAAACCCGTTTCCGAGTTGTGCCTCTTTGATTGTATATTGCGGCACGGGATATATGGATATAGATATGAAAATATAATATATAATATGAAGATTGATTTGCCTAGACAGATTTACCCGATCTAACGACTAATTCGATCGTTCGTAAGACAAACGTGAGTCTTTTTGCTTGTGCTGCCCTCGCGGGTGCTAAGTGGCATATAAACACGGGTATATGATCGCTAATTAGTCTGTATCTATCAGACATGAAGTTATACGACACACATATCCGTGAGATACCAATTAAAGGCCAAAAACCTTACAAAGGGTACGACTTTGAGATGTTTGAAATATTAAGGGTTTGACGCAGACGCAAAGTTGCACTGTGAAAGAGTTTCAGTCTCTAAATAGTTACAGAAACATGGATGAACTATGTCTCTTAATTTCGGTCTTAATGAAATTAACAGCCTGGCGGCGATGGTTAAAACTCGGCATAAGACAGTAATTAACTTAACACCTTCACTCGTGTTAATCAATAGAGCTTTAATAATAGAATCCCCTCGGCTGGCCAATAAAGGGGAATCAATCGTGTCTCGGTACTTTTCCTATGGCCAATGATAGGCGAACAAGCCCCTAACCGAAAACCCTTTAAGCTCCAACAAGATCTGTCCCCGAGATTACAGCTCCGCTTCCAGCTCAAATCACGCAGGGCCCCCGAACTAATTACCCCGAAATGAGTGACCGCGGCATGACACTGCCACTGGCACACTGATATACTTTGGAACAAACAAACATTACTTGTGCTTAGGCCGGGACCTGGCCATATAATTTGGACTCCAATCTAGAGCAAAGCCAGCTGATGGCTTATCTTCGTCGCCGCAGATAAGACTGAATGGCCCACGTTTTTGGCATACAACACAATCCGCTATTAGGTGTACTTTTACCATAGATATTTCTTAGATCATCCAAACAAATGACCAGCCTTTGTCCCGGCCTTTTCCCCAACACATTTGTTTTTATATAATCGAAGGCAATAAGATGATATTAAAGTCATTTCGCCTGTCTATTTGGGCAAAGATATCCATCTATTCTATTCACATTTACAGATACTTTTAATCAAACAATTAGCTGTGACACTATCTCGAATGTGGATTGAAGTGAGCACGATGTGCGTCATTCGGTTGTGGATAACTCTGAATCAATTGTGTTTGAGATATGTATTGTCCACGGGAACCAACACACACAAATAGATAGAAATATCTCTATATAGATTAAATCAATTAACCAAGCATTGCAAACAGTTTTTTTTTCATTAGAGAACATATGAGTTTTTTGTTAAACGATTGAAAGTAATGGCGTGACCATTTTGAACTTATTTTTTTTTTGGGTATTAAATATATATTTGGATTTACTAGTACCCCCAGTTTTGGACACAAGATGCAATATCGAGAGAGCGTTGTTGAACCATTTTTGCCACCTCTCAATAACAAATTTAAGTCATATTGTTTTTGAAAAACGAGAGCTAAAAGAGACACTGTTTATTATAAGAATAAAAAGATACCACGATAATTTAAGCTAATAATCTAGGATACTAAGGTATATTCTTCTATTTTATGCAACAATTTAAAATCCTTAAAATTCATTATAAGTCCTATAAATAGGTAACCCATATTCTGATACTATACAAAAATATAGTTACGTGTTTATCAATTAATTATAAATTGGCCTTACAAAGTGTCGCATGCTATAAATTCTTCACACACTTTTTCTTTTGGCCAAGACCCACAAGTTTGACGTCAAAACAGTTTGAGGTCATTATGGGCTCTTGAGAGCGTCGTCGTCACTTGATGATAAGAGTTCGACAGAAAATCTAAAAGAAATGACATACGTGCCAGATATGGATTAAAATATATTGCTTTTATTAATTATTTATTTTCATATTTGCAGGTCGCAGCAGCTGGAGCGATGATATTGGCTTTGATCTGAATGCTGAGTTCAACAGCAACTCGTACTTGAACAAGTAAGTAACTCCGCTGAATGTCCCTTGATTAAATATTAACTAATTTACCCTCCTTCATTCCTTTCTATTTTTCCTCAATTTTAGTGAGAACTTCCTGTCGTTCTCGCCATCGCTGACCACCCTGAAACAGGAGCCGCAAACGGATCAGATTAAGGCCAGTCCCAAGATATCGTTGGACAATGCCGTCGGTTCTCCGTCGGTGGCCATTGCCAAGCTGGATGAGTCCCAGAACTCTCCGCAGCAGGCTAATCCTGGGCAGGACTCAACACCGGGCACTGGTCCAACCATTGGCAATGGCAAGCACGATGTGAACTCGGGTCTCATCTGCGGCTGTGGTTCCCCGCAGGGCTCCCCCTTGGCCAGCAGCGAGTATGAGGTGAACGAGAAGGGTGCCAAGGTTCATCCACAGCAGCAGCAGCTCAGCGTTTTGGATCCGGCCAAGATTGAGCTTGTTTCGGCCAATGGAGGTACCCACTCCGAGGATCATAAGTAAGTATCAGGACTAGGTTTTTCCTCTAAGCTTATGGTAACTATTATCTATTTATTTTAGATTCCAGTACATTTTGGCTGCGGCCACTTCGATTGCCACTAAGAATAATGAGGAGACCCTGACGTATCTTAACCAGGGCCAGAGCTATGAGATCAAGCTGAAGAAGATCGGCGATCTGTCCCTCTACAGGGATAAGATATTGAAGGTGAGTCTTGAGTCCCGAGTTCCCGAGTCCAAAGTCTCTGTCCATTTCCAATTGAGTCGCAGAGTCATGTGATGGCGGTGAATTATACGACTTGCGAGTGAGCGACTTGCCTCTTGACCGACACTGTGTGTATCTGTATCTGTTGTATCTGTATCTGGGGCTCAATTGATTTTAATAAGCCCCAATTAAGCCGCTCGACTTGCGAGATGCCAATGACTACTAGGCAAAGACCTCTGTGTACATGTGAAATCTGCGTGTGCGAAAACTTTCCGAGTGAAGTCATAGCCACCACTCACTCATCCGACCCTCCCTCCTGACTTCTTCTTCTCTTGCAGAGCGTGATCAAGATCTGTTTCCATGAGCGCCGCCTCCAGTTCATGGAGCGCGAACAGATGCAGCAATGGCAGCAATCCCGCCCAGGCGAACGCATCATTGAGGTGGACGTACCGCTATCGTATGGCCTGTGCCACGTGTCACAGCCACTCAGCTCCAACTCGCTGAACACTGTCGAGATCTTCTGGGATCCCCTGAAGGAGGTCGGCGTCTACATCAAGGTCAATTGCATTTCAACCGAATTTACCCCAAAGAAGCACGGCGGCGAGAAGGGTGTGCCCTTCCGACTGCAGATTGAAACCTATATAGAAAACACAAATAGCACCAATACCGGCTCTGGTCTAGGATCTGCTGGCAGTAGCAACAACAACGCTGCCAGCAACGGTGGCAGTGGTAACACCAGCAACGGCAGTGGCACAACCGGTGGCACCACAGCTCCAGCATCGCCGGAACGGTCGCCCAATGGCGGTGGACAGGCCAAGCAGGCGGTCCATGCCGCTGCATGCCAGATTAAGGTGAGCAGGGGGGATGTATTGGGGGATAGGTTGATGCATCATAAATACCATGTTAGCATCCTATTTCTGTTAAATTTTGCATTAAATATAGTTTCTATATTTTGCAGGTTTTTAAGTTAAAGGGCGCCGATCGCAAGCACAAGCAGGATCGTGAGAAGATCCAAAAGCGTCCGCAATCGGAGCAGGAAAAGTTCCAGCCCAGCTACGAGTGTACCATCATGAATGACATATCCCTGGATCTGGTGATGCCAGCCACTACCACTGGCTGCTACAGTCCCGAATAGTGAGTATTGATGGCCTTTTCATCTCTCTAGAAAATAGAAAAAATAGGTATACATATTGGACAAGAGGAGAGGACTGTCTCCCTTACTTGGCATATGTGCTCCAGAATTAAGTAACAATTTATTTCGCTTTGTGGCCCCGCAATTTTCCAATTGAGTTCGCCAATTTTTCCACAACTCATATTTATGTGACAGCTACGGTCTGCGCCTTTTGATTTACGAACCGAACTAAAAGCAACTGCAGTCCACAGTCATTTACATAACATCCAGTTAAGATCAAGTGCATATTACGTATCACGTAGATATACTTGTTTCTTATCTCACCCTAGTTTTTACAGTGCGTTTCAGAGCCCTAAGTTAGGGATATTTTATTGATATAATGATGATTGAATATTGCCTTCAATACATGTTTCCTACAATTAAGAATTAGGTTTTTATAAATAGTAAATAGTCATTTTTATATTGAACAAAATACTAGTATATTCAAATAGGATATGGAAAGTGGCAATTAGTGTTCAATGCGATTGCTAAATAGATTTTGTTATTGTTTTCAAGTAGGTTTTTCTGTTGAATGATTTGTTGTTATTATTCATTTCAGGCATCGAAATAGTAAATAAAAATAATTGATAAATAATGTATTAAATAATTAACTTTAATATTCCTATATCACGCTTGAGTACCATCTCCAATAATTTGTTTTACATATATTTTAAAACACTTGGTTAACCAAACAAATAAAATCAAAGATGTTTATTTGTGGTCTTTGATTATATACAAAGATTCCGTCCCAATAAATGTTTGATCATTAAATTGAGAACGTTTCAGAAGAGTTGGTAAGAAATACAAGCAAATCACCTTAAACAAATTTGGCAAGATGCCCCCTGAAAATAATGTATGTACCTTACAATTGCGGTACGCACTTTCCCAATGGAATTTTCCTAGCGTAACCAGGCGGTGAGAGGAAATCATTTTGTTTGTGTCATTTACATTTGAATGATCAGCAAAAGTCAAACCAAAATCATATCGAATCAAGAGCGAATAGCTTGGAGAGTGATCGTGATCAGGGAGAAACTAAGAGCAACACCGAGTTGCACACAGATCTCTAGAGAGGAAGAGACTTCCACCAACTAAAGGATCTTTTGCAAAGCTAAGAGAAAGATCACCAAAGAGATCACAGCTTTCTGCTTTGGGTCATTTGTTGTTTTAGCCAGTCAGCTCCAAGATATTTTTAGTTTAAAGTTGCTTTTAACCGGTTTTCTGGTTTTCGTTTTTGCTCAAATGATTTTGTTTTGTTTGTAGAGAGACAGAGAGAGGGCACTTTTGTAGATAATAATTGCAAATAATATTATGGGGGCTCTTTTTGTATTGATTATATCGATTGGAAAATACATCCCATTTATGCATTGAGTAGATTTAAGTATTTAGGCCATACAAATAACAGGAAATGGCTGTGGACGAAAGTCTTGAAAAAGTTTCCCCTACCCATAAAAATATATATAAAAAGTTATTCCAAACGGGTTTGCGCCTGGCCAACCGACCGCAACCGGCCGTATCGGGTATCGGCCTTAATCGTAGTCGTAAACAAACCAGATTCCCTTCAATCGGCGGGGAGGCAATGGGAAATCTTAAATGTTGAAAGATGCCCGAGTCCCGCGCATTCGTGAACATGCGCTTGCATCTGAAGGATCGTCGTCGCTCCTGCCAACATCAGATACTCATCGAGCTATACCGGATTTGTAGGACAGGACTCTCTATCTACAACCTGAATCCCTATTAACTATCAATTTGTTTGCTTTATTTGCAGTATGAAACTCTGGCCCAATTCGCCCGTGCATATACCCAAGTACGATGGGATACTTCCGTTTGCCCCAAGTGCAGCATCGCCGGCCACCAGCAGCAGCAGTCCCATTGCCATCAACTCGGTGACGTCCACCAACTCACCGACTCTGAAGCTAATGGACACCACCAATATGGTATCGCCGCAGCATATTCCCGCTGACATGGATGATTATGTAGGTCCCACTAAAGAGTACATGGAGAGAGTAACAACTACTAACTAATTAATCCAATTCCAAACAGAATCAGAACATAATGCCGGAATCGACGCCCGCGCAGGTGACACAGTGGCTGACCAATCATCGCCTCACGACCTATCTATCAACTTTCGCACATTTCTCGGGAGCGGATATTATGCGGTATGTACATATAGTTATATTTTATAAGAACATTTTAATTTAAAATAGTTTCATTTGATATATTCTACGTAGACCAAGATTTCTCATAATCAGTGATCCCTAAAACCAATCATTCAAAAGCTACTTTACAGAGCTTTGCTATAGAGTCTACACATTATTTTTTTATTTATAGACTTTTACTTATCTGAACTACTTTGATTTGTTTCCTTTAAACTGTTTACTTCAATTGTTTTTCATGTTCTTTGATTCCGACTTAATTTATTTATTACTTGATGCTTCTGTCGATGTTAAATTATCACTTAGATTAGTTAGATCTAAGTTCTTAGTGACCCCTTTTCATGGCAAACAATTTTGTTGAAATCCTCCTTCCTATAAATTTGTAATTCAATCAAACAAGTTTAGTTGATAAAGAATAATTGACAGTAAGCAAATAATTGATAGTTCCAATGATAACAATTACAGTGTTAAAACCTTATAATAACTGAATGGATGGTTGATCCAATTCTCTGACAAAAGAAAAACTAGAGGAAAATCAGTAAGTGTACTTAAGTTATGCACTGATTTTCATTTGAATACAATGTTCAAGCCAGTTTATTACCATTTTGTATAATGTTATGGACAAACATCTGAAATATAGCAATCGCTTATATAGGATAACTTGATTTGACAACCACATGCACAAAATCTAACTTGTTTGATCAATATATAACCCGATAAGATATAGTGTGCCTACCCTATGAGTTATCTGGTATAATACGATACGTGTATAATATATATTCTATATTTAAAGTGTTCAGTTTTTATTTTGGTCAATGATTTATTCGAATTGATTTCTAATAAATGTCTGTTCTCTTGGCTTATTTATAGCATGTCCAAGGAGGATTTGATACAAATCTGCGGCCTGGCCGATGGCATTCGCATGTTCAACATTTTGCGCGCCAAGTAAGTTAATATTCATTCCCAAATTCCATCTGAAAACATTATTAATATATTGACATCTCCGTTGCAGGACCATTGCACCTAGGCTTACGTTGTACGCCAGTTTGGATGGCTGCAGCTACAATGCCATCTACTTGCTATCGAACACGGCCAAGGAACTGCAGCAGAAGCTGTTCAAGATGCCCGGTTTCTATGAGTTTATGGCCAAGGCCAGTGCCCAGGAGAATGGAGGAGGCGGAGCTGCCGCAGCAGCTGCCCTGTACAACAACTGGAGCATGCACTCGAAGTACTCGGGCAGCGGCTCGAACATCTTCAATGATGCCAACAAGAGTTGTGTGTATATTTCGGGGCCATCGGGCATTTTGGTCAGCGTCACCGACGAGGTTCTCAACAACGAGATCAAGGACGGCAGCCTCTACGCCATGGAGGTGCAGGCCGGCAAGGTGATCCTCAAGCTGATCAACAAGCAGGACAACAATTGAGCGTTTTAATTGATACCCCCGTAGAGACCACAATCAAGTATAGTTTTTAGCATTTACACGCAATGCGAAACATAGTTTTCTATATAAGCTTCAATGTGTACGAGATATTTCGCGCAGCAATTTTGAACAAGTAACAACAAACAAGCGACCCGAAACCCTTATCCCCAACGCAAAATTTTCGTTAAAGAACTAGTGCAAAATATTTAAGTTTTTTGTTTTTCAGTACTCACTTTTAGTTTTATTCTACTTTACATTGTATTTTATACCACCTACGATATGCACATTTAAATTTCCGATGCGATTGCATTTCGATTCGTTCTTTTATCTACTTTTAATTTTTCTTCTTTTATTTCTATGGCGTATGCTTACCACATACATATATAACACTTATACATTTGTTTGTAGAACCCCAATCGATACATCAGTTATTTTGAAGTAGAAAGAAAAAAACGCAAAAAAAAGGAAAAATTATTTTACTATAATGATTATTATTATTATTATCTTGAAGTACAGTACCACGAATACAAGAATTGAGCAATTGTTTCGAAGCAGAGTTCAACTAGCAACCAAACAACAACTTTTGTATGTGATAGAAGCAATAAAGTGTTATCCACAAGTGGACTGTCAAAAAAACCATTTGAAGTCATCTTTATTTTTGGGAATTTCAATTTGTAAAGTATGTACATTGTTACTCAAATTTATTGAAATGAGTTTGGTCAGACTACTGAGTTCTCTTATATTGAACTTATAGAAATATAATTCGGGGTTCCCCCAAAAAGCTTTAGTATGATATAAGCCTTCATTCTATTCAGTTTTCTTTTGGATATATTTTCAAAATTTTAAAGTAATTAAAGTTCTAGTTAAAGATGGATGGTTACCACATCATTCTGCTCCTCTTTTGTTGCACTTTAGGTAAGCTTAATAAAATATTTCTTTTACAAATTTTCACCTCGATCTCAGGGGCAGTTTGGCAAGTGCAGGGCGATTGTCGTATAGCTCAGTATATGGTGGAGCAAACGAATCGCATATTCACCTATTGCGATGCCAGTGGTTCCATCCAATTGCAGCGCAAGGAAACCGTACCAAATGGTGTCACCCTATTCATGTATTGCAATCCCTCGGATATGGTGGAGACGCAGTGTCTGGACAACGGGAAATTCTCCAATCCCCTGCCCATGAGATGCGGCAATCCGATGCAACCAATGTTGATGCAAATCCGGGGTAATGATTGTCCCGGAACCTTATATTCCGTTGGCTATGAGATTAAGGGACGGAACTTGGAACTTTATCGAACCTGTTTCGATGGACGACTTGGACAGGTTTTATACTCGCAGAGCGATGTCTACTACAAGAGCTTCTGTGAGTTGGCCTCTTAGGGATTGGTTCATATTGATTTAATATTATTATAATTATCCTTTTAAACCGACAGTTCCGAAAAGACCTTTCGTGGAATTTGTGGCTGATCAAATGTTCAGTCCCCTCGAGGCATCAGCGTACCTAAAGTCCAACATTTACTTTGCCTTCAACTGCATCTATGGCAATGCCCAGACCTACTTGCTAAATGTTAGATCTCTGGTCATTAATCGAGGTCATTTGGTGGCTTCGGCGGACTTCCTGTTTGTTGATCAAATGAGCAGTACCTTTCGCTACCTGAATGTGGTGCCGCAGTTCAAGTCGATTAACGATGGCAACTGGGAGAAGATCGAGCGCTGGGTGCGCAGTCAGGTGCCCCCATCGAGCTATTTCCGTGTCAAGTCCGGTGGAATCGGCATCCTGGAGTTACCAGATGCTAATGGTGACTATAAGGCTGCTTTCCTGGCCGGCTCTAAGATCCCAGTGCCGGAGTGGACTTATAAGGTGGTGCGTGATGACCAGGGGAATGGACTTTATGTCTTTCTCACCTACAATAATACTTTTAAAAGCGAGAAACCGAAATGCCCGAATATTTGCAGACAAGTTTCCTGCCCCTTGAGTCTTGCGAATAATGCCTATAATGGATACACCTTCTGCTGCGATCCCAATAATTTTCCGTTCTAAAAAAAATGGGGGGATGTCCTTTATGCATATTTTAGGAAGGACTCTTTGCCCAACTGCCTGCGTAATAATCCCCGTTTGAATAATTTAATATTTTTATTAAACGGACGCACTTAAGCTGAAAATGCGAAAATTTGTTGTCTAAGAGGGAATACACAGTGGCAAAAAGGGTTTATTTAATGAAAACGAATGTTAAAGCGTTTAATTAGATGCAAAATAAAATTAGTAAACAAATTAAAAATGATCTTGAATTTATGATACTTATATTTGATATTTATGAAGGAACTAAAGTCTATATAAGTAATTAAACTTATAAAACCTTTTAATTATTGCTCAGTGAAAGGCACGCCAGAACCGATTAGTAGGCTCTTAATGAGATTTTAAACGCTTATAGAGAAGATATAAAAGGACTTCTTCCAAATCAGAAAACCTTAAACTGAATTCAAATGGAAAAACAAGTGGAAATCTTCTACAGGGGTCAGAAGGCCTTCCTGAACATCTTCTCTTTGTGGCCGCAGAAGGAACGCTGGCGGAGAATCTTTCACCAGCTCAACTACGTACACGTAATGGGTTTCTGGGTGCTGCTCTTCGACTTAATCCTAATCATACACGTGGTAGGCAACTTAAGCCACATGTCCGAGGTGGTCAGGGCCATCTTTGTGCTGGCCACCAGTGCGGGGCACACCACCAAACTGATCAGCGTTAAGGTCAAGAATGTGGCTCTGGAGAAACTATTCAAGCGGTTGGATGATGAGGATTTTCGACCCCAGAGTCTCGAGGAAGAGAAGACCTTCAAGGCTGCCTGTGAAACGAGTCGCAAACAGCGGAATTACTATGCATCCTTGTCCTTTTGCGCCTTGGCCATGATCCTTGGGACTCAATTGTTGTTGGATTGGTCCCAACTCCCACTGAGCACATTTAATCCTTTTAGTGACCATCCTGGCTCGCCCGGCTATTGGTGCCTGTACTGCTACCAGAGCCTGGCCTTGTCCATCTCCTGCGTTACGAACATTGCCTTTGATTCCCTCTGCTCCTCCCTGTTCATCTTTATCAAGTGCCAGCTGGACATTTTGGCACTGAGACTGAATAAGATGGGATGTGGTCCGGGTACGGGAAGAGGAGTCGTGGAGAGGCAGCTGAAGGAGTGCATCCGATATCACACAAACATCGTGGAGTTGACTGAAACCGTTGAGCTTTTGCTCTGCAAACCAATTTCGGTTCAGATCTTCTGTTCCGTGTTGGTCCTGACGGCCAACTTTTATGCCATTGCCTTGGTGAGTCCTTAAAACCTAATTTTATAGTTGAACATAATATCCATCGATTCCTTTTCAAGCAGCTCTCCGAAGATGAGATCGTTCTGTTTAAAATGATAACCTATCAGGCTTGCATGCTAGTTCAGATCTTTATTTTGTGCTACTTTGCCGGGTGAGCAGGGGATCTATTAAATTTGTATATATTTATGATGGCTAATAGTTAACCCTCCAGCGAGGTCACCAATCGCAGCATGGAGCTGCCCCACGAACTGTACAAGACCAGTTGGATGGAGTGGGACCGCTCCAACCGCCGTATTCTGTTGATGTTCATGCAACGGTTGCACTCGACTCTGCGTATAAGGACCTTAAATCCCAGCCTTGGCTTCGACCTCCAGTTATTCGGCTCGGTAAGTTGGCCCTTGATTTCTTTTTGCAGTGTTGTCAATTTCCATAATGAGGCTCATTAGTTGGCATTAGCTGGTGGAAATGTGTGGGAATTCGTGGGCTATATAAGCCGTTCGTCGGGGGGATTCTCGAAAAAGTGAAAGACAGTCAAATCGTTGTCATGGATCAGCATCAGAAGATAACGGAGCACTTCTACAAGTACCAGATGTGGTACTTTGGGATCCTGGGAGTTTGGAAACTTCCCATTTGGGCCAGTGACCAGGAGCGTCGCCTCCAAGCCATGCGATTTGCCTTCCTCCTGATTTGCCTCTGCATTATGCTGCTGCTGTTTGCCCTGGAGCTGTTGACCAATATTTCCGATGTGCGGGAGATCCTAAAGGTGTTCTTTATGTTCGCCACCGAAATGTCCTGCATGACCAAACTGATGCACCTGAAGATGGAGTGCCAGAAACTGGCAGGTCTCGTTGAGATGATGAGGTCCCGGGAGTTTGCCACAAAAAACGAGGAGGAGAAGGAGCTTATGGAATCGGCCAGAGTGGTGGTAGTTCTCATGAGGAACTTTTACGGCGTCATGTCATTTTTAACGGCTTCATTGATTCTCTTGGTTCCATGCTTCACCGGCTATGAGGAGCTCCCGCTGACTATGTTTGAGGTGTGCAACATCCAAGGAAGGATCTGCTACGGACTGCAGTACCTCTTTCACTCGGTCTGCCTGATGCCCACTTGTTTCCTGAACATCACCTATGATACGGTGGCCTTTTCTTTGCTTCGATTCCTAAAGCTGCAGCTTCAGATGCTGGAGTTGCGGCTGGAAAAGTTGGGTTCAGCTTCCAACTCCGAGGAGAACGAGAGAATCTCAAGGGAATTGCGGGAGTGTGCCGATTATTACAATAGCATTGTGGAGTATAAAAATCTAGTGGAGCTCTTCATCCAAGTGCCGGGCTCCGTGCAGCTCATGTGCTCCGTTCTCGTCCTGGTTTCCAATCTTTTTGGCCTCTCAACCATGTCCGTGGCCAACGGTGACACCATCCAAATGGCCAAGATCTGTATTTACCAACTTGTGATGGTCTGGCAGATTTTCATCATTTGTTATGCCTCCAACGAGGTGACCTTGCACAGTTCTAGGCTCTGCAACGCCGTCTACAGGTCTCAGTGGACGGGATGGAACCGAGAGAACCGCCGGATGATCCTGCTCATGATGCAGCGCTTCAATTTGCCTCTACAGTTGCGCACCTTTAATCCCACCTTCACCTTCAGCCTTGAGGCCTTTGGCTCTGTAGGGTTTTAGGTTACTTATTTTAATATTTAATAATATATTTTTTGTAATTGTTTCATTTCAGATTGTTAACTGCTCATACAGCTATTTCGCTCTACTAAAGCGAGTCAACAGTTAAGATTCCTTTTATTAATGGAAAATGATAGGTAAAGGAGCTTGCGGAAGTGGAATAAATGTTGATAAAAAGGCTATAAGGATAAAGGAATTCAAGGAATATTAAAAGAGAATATTTATTTCTTTAAAGCACTTTGTTAATTAGAGTTTCTTTAGATGACTTGTAACACTTTGCTTGTAGATTGGAAAATAAATAAATAAAACTACAAGTTTGTAGTTAGTTTTGCTTGCTTTGATTATTTCTTTTTTGAGGCATGGATACATGAAACATAAATAAATTTACTCAAAAAATCTATATTGACAATGTTTCTATACTGTTATTGAAATGTTCTAAATTAATATTTCAAATATTCTTTTAAAAAAACGCGCAAAACGGTCACTCTACCGTATGTTGTAAAATACCATATTTTTTGGCGCGAGCACAACACCGTTGTGCTGTTAATATACCAAAAATAGAAAACACACTAACGCCACAATTGTGCTGATGGACAAAGATTAAGATGTCGGAAAACCAGAAAAACAATAGCTGCCTGCATTGTAGTGTTTTCAATCCGAAATTCCGGTACCAGGAGATCTTCGATGAGTTCGGCACGGAGTTGGGCCTGCAATCGCTGCTGGCCAAGCACTTCCAGCTGGATGTGGAGCCCAAACCGCAGCAGAGGCAGCTTCTGTGCGAGGTGTGCGTCAACATGCTCATCCGGCTGTTCGATATTGATGAATTGCAGCGACAACAGGATGCGGCAAAGGCGGGGATCAAGGATCCAAGACCTGAGTCGTCTGTTCATCCTGTCATACCGGTCGTTGTCAAGCCTGACACTAAACCTGCACCCGCTGCTGCCGCTGTCAAGAAAGAAAAGATTCCGAAGCCTGCTCGTGCTCCTCCTCTTCCCACCAGGGAACCAAGTGCTCGGATCAGCAAAAGAGTTCCGCCACCTCAGGTATTGCCTGTTCCATCCAAACCTTCAGGGCGAGCCAAGGAGCCGGTGAAACCCGCCAAGGAAGCATCGCCTGCCAAGCCAAAGGACACTGATCAGGAACATATTAGTGTCCTCATACAAAACCTCCTCGACGAAGATGAGGCGATGTGCGAGGAAGTGGCAGACGAAACTGAGCCCTTCTGCGAGGAAGTAAAAGCAATAGAAGTTGCTTCCATGCCAGAGAAGCAGAAAACCCAAAGGAAAGTTGTTCTCTTAAACAAGAAAGCCGTGCGGCAGCCTAGTCTAGATGAAGATGTTTATATATTTGAGCAAGAAGGTTTGTTTAACACTGGACAAGTCCCAAGTATATTCCCAAACTAACTTTTACTATATTCAGATATTTTAGAACCATCTGTGGAGAATGTAAAGATCGAAGCAAAGGGTCGATCATCAGCTAAGATAACAGTTCAAGCCGAAGAGAGCCAGAGTGAGGGAGAAACCGAAGAGAGCCATGTGATTCTATTCGACTTTGTGATGATCAAAGAAAGTATGTAAAGATTCGCCTAAAATCAAACTATTATTTATTGTTACATATTTTCTCTTGCAGAGGATGACATTGGTGACATTGCCGAGTACTTGTCCACAGTTGTGAAAACCAGCTTCGAGAAACTGACCTTTGAATGGCCCACGGTGTGCAAACACTGTTCCCAGAAGTTTACCACCTTTGAGAGTCTTCTAAGTCATACGCTCAAGTCGCACAAATCTCGGGGTAATGCCTACAAGTGTCCCATTGATGGCTGCAACAAGGAGTTAAAGGGCAGCAAATTTCTGGCCATGCATCTGGTTGTTTTGCATGCTCCCGTAGCTGAGTGAGTGCTATAAATCTCTGAGAAATCCAATATAATAAATAGTAATCATTTTTCATTTCAGAATCCCCATTTACGGCAGCTGTCCGGAGTGCAAGATGACTTTCTCAAACATTTTGCAGTATAACAAACACTCTTGCGCTCATATGATCAAAAAGAAGCGCGGTGTTCGTCTATATTGTGAAATGTGTGCTCAGGAGTTTCCCTCCTGGAAGCGGTAGGTCTCCTACATATTCTTAAATACTTTAAATACCACAACTATAGTTTCTTTTTATTTCAGTTTCAATTTTCACAATCAATTCCATTTGGAGAAGCATAGGCCTCGCGCCTGTTTTGTCTGTGATTATGCCAGCACCAACATCGATGAACTGTTCCAACACTTAAACTACTCCCATGAGCCTGTGGGCACTTTGTTTTGCGACCTGTAAATGCTCTTAATCTTTAAATATAATCACAAATTCATTTAATTAATTTATTTTTATCTATTCAGTTGCGATCGAACTTTCCGGGATCCCGGCGTGTTCATGGAGCACAATAAGTCGCACGCCAATGTTAGCAGCACTAGCTATCACTGCGGCGAATGCATGGCGGTCTTTGAGTCCCGAGGTCGACTAGCTGGACACATGGTAAGTCTATATTAACGATCTGAACTAGAGATGTTTATCGATGGTGGTTTTAAATTTCTTAGCGCTCAATGCACGGCAGCATCATTAGCTGCGAGCTCTGTTCCCGAGAGTTTGGTAGCGAAGCAACCTACAGCATTCATATGAAGAAGCATCTAATTATTGAGCGGGATTTGCACGTATGCAGCAATTGCGGCCTGCTGAGCGATAGCAAAGAAAAGTTGGCTGAACATGCGGGAACCAAAAATTCACCCTGTTTTGCTGCCAAGATATATACGGAGATGCTACGCGATGCCTATATCTGCGAATACTGTTCCTCGTACTTTAAGCAAAAGTCCGATCTGCAAGCGCATCGCGCGTCCGGAATCCATAAGAATGGGCTATTCTGGTGCCAGCCGTGTGGCAAGGATTTTCCACATATGAAACAATACCGCCATCACCTGCGCAACTTTCAGAAACTGCGATCGGATTCGGCGCATCGGAAGCTGGAGATTTGTGTATTCTATATGTGCGATCAGTCGGTGAGTAGCAACAACTTTTAAATACGAAAATTAAGTAACATCAATCAATTAATATTTGTAGGACTGCAGGGAGGCCTATGTGAACTGGAACTCGTTGTACACGCACAAGCGGCGCACCCACGAATCCTCGGATAAGCAGACAGATAAGGCCTCAAAGTCTGGACAGGATTGGATTTGCCAATTCTGCCTAAAGCAGTGTCGCTCAAAAATGTCCTTGTCTGTTCATGTGGCAAGGAGCCACAATAATGGTGTGTTCACTGGCAACACCTCTCCACCTTTTCTTTTTTAAGCTTAACTGTTTCTCTTGTCTTTTTCCAGACAACGTTGTATGTTCGTTGTGCAATGCTTCTTATAAGAGCCAGGATGCCTTGGACAAGCACCATGCCTACTGGCATGAACCCATCGAATGCCCGGAGTGCTTTAAGATTGTCAAAAATCGTCGAAATTACGACACGCATGTTAATGTTGTGCATTCAAACAAGAAACGCTATGCTTGCGGTGTTTGCGAGAAGGGATTTTATCATAAAAGCGAAATGGAGGCTCATCAAAGGGTAAATATTAATGACTGTTATTAATTTATAATATATTTTCTGGCTCTAACACTTTTTCGTGCCCTTCCAGCTACATGGCCAGTTATACAGCTGCGAGAAGTGCACCTTCACCACGAAAAACAAAAAGTCCCTGTCCGTTCATATCTTGGGTCAGCACTACAAGCGTTTCGCCTTTGAGTGCAAGGTGTGCAACAAGAGATTCGGACGTCGTCAGGGCCTGACTACGCACATTCAGCGGGCTCATGGTTCCAAGTACGTTTGCCGTGATTATTTTGAAGGCGGATGCGGGCGCACCTTCGTCAGCAGTTCCCAGCTGAATGTTCACGTGAGAAAAGTGCACGAAGGCACTATTCTTCTGCAGGAGGAGGAAGAAGAGGACAGTGATGGCCCATCCACATCCAAGAAACGCTGCTATCGGATCGATGATGATAGCAATATAGAGTTTGTAGAAATTGGAGACGGCGAGGAAGAGGAGGAAGAATATATTGACTAGCCCAATTAGGATGCTATGCATTGAGACAGCCGTAAAGTAAGTTTTCCTTTGCTAAAGCAGATTTATTTGATTTAAATTTCATTTTTGTTTTTTTGCTACTCCATACTTGAACACAAATGATGTCCGAAAATGACATTAATATGTATTCCATAGTACACATAATACTATATTCTAATGATAATAATAATAGCTACGTTTTAGGCTAAACTTTAATTGCAATTAACTAGCCAGAGTCTGGCGGAAGCAAATTTGATTTATTAAGCGTTGTGGTTTGGTCATTTAACTGCTGAAGATTGTGTGCGGAGCTTACCTGCAAAAGAGATTATTATTTATAAAATAAAATATGTATTTTAATAAGCCAAGACTTACTGGGCTAATTGGTGTTATAACAATGGCTGTGCGCGTGGCACACTGCAGCAGGGCTGTGTCCTCAGTGGACTCATCACAGTCACCATCGGCATCCGCATCCACGTCCACATCCACTCCAATATCACTGTCGATCTCCCAGGAGGGGAAATGTTCCATTTCACCTTCACAGTTTAGATCCTCCTCCTCGAAATCCTCGTACTCATCGATTAGTATAACTAAATGGAAGATTGTTTTAAACATTTGTTATTCTTTTTGTTAGGTGAAAGTCCCCATGCTCAACCACAAATGTGACTCATATAATGTCTGATGAATATGTTAAAAAACTATGTTTAGAGTCTCAATGAAGCCAAATGAGTTATTCAATATTTTTAAATCATTCAATCGTAAAAGAAACAATAGTTCTAAATAAAAAATAACGAACAATTAAACAGGTACACATTCATTTATTAAAATCGTTTAAAATTGAGCAAGCAAATAAAATAAATTAATATGTAAATGATGAGGTGGGTTAAGTTAGTTCTTGAACCAAACTATTAACAAATTTAATTACTTGAACTATCTGGCGGCGTAGGCTTTGCACTGCTGTCCAGGGATTCGGCTCCCTCATCGGGTATATTGATGCGTTGCTCCTGCTTGCTATACGGCTCCGATGTGGATCTTTGTAGGCTTTAACATGGAATATATATATTTTTATATTATAAACAATATTTAATTAAAATCTGTAGTCACCTTAACGTAACACGTTTTTTGGTTCTATTCTCTAATTCAGTCATAAAAACATCATTGTGCTGCTGCTTGTCAGACCCCAGCTGATATGAGTTAAGCACGGAAGACTGCACATAATAATTATATAACTTATATATCTTGTTTAACAAATATTTAAGTGTGGTAATCACCTTTGTATTGGTCGCTGTATGCTGCATGTGCGGCGGCATCGGGGTTTGTGTGGCGATCGCATCCGTTGTCGTCGTGACCGTTTGTGTGGATGTCAGGGATCGCAGCTCGGGGCCATCGGTCACCGAGGAGGGATTCAGCAGCGGTGTGGTGATGGCCGCGGTGGTCACCTGCTCTGGATGCACACTGAGGGCCGCGGTGCGTTTCCACACATCGATCATGGCCAGATTGTGGGCGTGATGCAGGGGCTTGTGGTTAGGACTAATGGAATGTATTTTGGGCTTGGCTGGCAGCGGAAGAGCCAGGAATCTATCACGATCCTCCATGTACGCCTTGATCAGCACGTCCAGCTTCTCTTCGATATCAGCGACCTAAAAATCGGTTGTAATTTACATATATATTTCATTTCGTTTATTTTTAAACTAAGATCTCACCTGCCGCTCGACTTTAACCACGCGGGAGGCTAAGCTTATTTTAGATGCATAAACGTCCTTGGCCTTGGACCCTTGTTTGCCCAGGATTTGATCCAAACTGTTGGTAAATAATAATATAATAAAATAACATTAAATTGTCATGCATTTATAAACACTAGATTTTTTTAATTCTAATTTGAGTATGCAGATCTGTTAACCTTATAAAACTAACATAGGACATGTTTCCGAATTAAAATTAATTCTTTTTGGAAAATTGTTATATAACAAAATATATTAATGTCGACCCAAAGAATAGTATTATAATATTAGTCAGAAGCTTGTAAAGCAGCGAAGCAGTCATTTCCGACCCATAAATCATATATATTCTTGATCAGCATCAACAGGCGAATCTTTCTAGGCATGTAGGAAAGAAACAAAATTTTGGCCAATTTTTTCAAATTTTTATAATTTTTAAATATCGTTAATATTTTCAAAAATTGGGAAAATTTGTAATTCTTAAAATTTTAAATTGAGTATGCAGATTTATTAAACTACTAAAAACTAATATAGAACAGCTTTCCGAATTGAAATTAAAGCCTTTTTGGCTGAGTTATGAGTTTTTAAAACTTTATTTAGAAATATTAAATATTCGAGGCTTAGTTATGACCATTTTCCGATTCTTTCCTATAATTGAAACTCTAAACTTGCTTTTAAAATGAAACTACTTATCTTTTTACATCTTAACTATTCTTCCTTAAAACCTACCTAGCGTATACGTAATTTAAGGGCTTTCACGTTAAGTATACGTCATGTATGCACTAGATCTATCTTAAGAAGATATATTTTTATACTCTTTCAGGGTATGATAATTTTAATCAGAAGCTTGCAAAGCAATGAAGAAGTCATTTCCGCACCTAAAAGGTATATATATTCTTGATCAGCCTCAAGTTGAATCGATATACATAGCTATCTTCAATTAAAATAATTTTTTTTCAAAAATTTTCGATACTTTCAAAAAAGATAGACATCGTTAAAATTGTCAAAAATTTTATTTTTTATTTTTTAGCCTTATAAAAACTAGCATGGGACAGCTTTCCGAAATAAAATTAAAAGTTTTTTGGTTTTGTTATGAGTTTCTTAAGCCTTGATTTGTGCAAAAAATTGTTATGTAAAAAATAAATATACACACTTCGGCTTATAGAAGTTAACTTTCCTTCTTGTTTTTAGTTTTAATTTTGTTAAAATTCTTACCGCAAATGTAGCATCTTAACGCGACCCAACAAGTCAACGTGACCTGAAATATAATTATTTTATATTATAATATTATATATAAGGAATTATTTAACAACCGATATTTCAAGGAATTTAAGTAAAAATTGCTTTATATAATAATTAAAAACTTGGAACTCACCGGCCGCATATTGCTCCATGACATCCTTGACGTCGTAGGGTTTCAAGGCCTCCTTGAATTTCCTTCGCGCCACAAAGTACTTGAGCTGCAAGAGAAATAAAATAAAATAAAGATTTTAATCCCTAAAGGGATTGGGGGAATCCCCAAACAAAAATCCAAACTCACCTTACGTATAAATCGAATGGCTGTCTTGTGCCGATTGGTTAGCTGCGTGCAGCGCGGCTCCTCATCCTCATCTGCGGGCAATTTGTGAATCAGAGAGATTGACTTGTGCGTTAGGTTTTGGTTGCTAGCTTCGCTTGTTGGTTATTTTTGGTTTGGTTTTTTGTTTTTTATTTTTTATTTTTGGTTTGGATATGGTTAATCAAGTCAACGTCAACGCAAATATACAACAACACATACAAAATTACCGTTACACACACATATGGAACAATTAGTAAATACACATGGATTATCATTAATATGTTAACGAGAGATATAGACGTAGATATATAGTTATAGATGTAGATAAAGATATATAGAAAGAGATAGAGAGAGCCTTAGTTGGTTAGTTGGGTAAATGAGAGGCCGAAGGATCATAATCATTATCCTTCAGCCTGGAGATACTGAAGCAAGCGTTGTGGCGTGAGGTGTCGCTGTGTGATGGATGGATGGATGGTTGGGATCCGGATGTGGATGTGGATGTGGATGTGGATGTGGATAGTCATCAGGTGGAGATTCAAGTGGCACCGATTACCTACTACGACTACAAAACAAGCTTCTGCCGGGAAGGGGGACACTCTACTACTTATTGGGAGGGGAATCGTAAAGGACTTCATGCAATCCTAGCACAGGCAGAGGACTGGACGCTACTCCTGGCGATACTCTCCACACACGCACTTGCCGCTTCGGTGGGCTGTGAGAATCCAGTTTCCAGGAAGTGTGTGGCCGCGGCAAAGAAGCGACCCGTTCGTCCATGGCCTGGACTGCTGCCAGGACTCGCCTTGGTTACGGGCAGCGGCAGAGTGTTGCTCCGTTGGCACATATCCTGTTGACCTCGGGCCGCATCCTCCAAGTCCTGATCGTTGGCCGGTGCCACTCGTGGCGAGCGCAGGGAAAACGTAGAGCCCAAGAAGTTGCCGGCAAGGAAACCATAGAGCACCACCGGTATGGTCAGGTGTCGGTTCTCACGCTTGGCCTGCTCCTCGACTCCGGCTCCTTGATGCCCGGAACCAGCCGGATCCTCGTCCACCTCGATGACACAGTCCGTTGAGGGCTGATCCTCTGGAAACTGGGCCAAGGAGCCGGCACTGGCGCTGAGCTGGCTGCTGTTGTTACCCAACATCGATGGCTGCTGGCTGGCTGAGTGTGTTAAGTCAAGACAAGTGTCTGGATTATAGGAGGAAGAGGAGCCCGGGGCGGGATGTCGAGGGGGAGTCGTGTTAGGCAACCAACCAACAAACAACATCAATTCAAAGTTCAATCAATCTTATCTCTGGGATGCATTGGATTCACAACATTGACACAACCACAACACTCAAATACAATATAGTGTGAGATATAGTAAATCTGATATTGGATATTCGTATTGTAGGACCTGGGGGAGAGGACCTTGTAGACTTACCGTCTGAATTTTTTATATTTTTTAAGCAAGTGGTTTCAGCGACTGAATCTTCGCTGAAACTTGGATTCATGGATTTGCCGTTTTGTACTACCTCTGCAAAATTTTCAAATCGAAAACAATTAAACTCGAAAATCAAACTCCACCCTTAGGAGCTGCGTTTTGGTAACTGTAACTGAAATCGGATTGGTTGCCAATATGTGTATAGGTTGATATATATATATATATCTATGATTCGAGAGACACGGTACATGGTACACTCTATACTCTATGGGTCGTACAATATTGGAACATTCAACACGGTTGCGAAAATAAATATGGGAAAAATAAAACCAAGATTATGCACCACAAGTGAGAAATCAAAACATCCAACTTCTAAGTACAACAACAAAAATCTTTTCTTGTTTTATTGTTAAATTGTTATTTAAACTTTGCTTTAGTTAATGCATTGTTTGTTGGTAAATTCAATTTAGGTTTTGAGCTTTATTCGCAGGTTTTCGATGAGGTTTATGTTAGGGTGTTAGAAGTAATGAGAATATTATAACCCTTAATCGGGAATTTGTATTATTATTTTTAATTAATAGTTATTTAGTTTATTTAAATTGTTGACCTGAACCATGTCCTCTATTTTACTTTAAATATTGATTAGTTTATACCTATGGATCTTAATTTCCTTGAAGTATTGGTAGTTTTTGACAATTAATTTTATGTCTCAAACTATTCAATCTGTAATTAATTAATGCGTAAAGTCCCATGAAGGAAACATAGATAAATATGGCAATTCAAATGCCATATTTATACTCTTCCAAAAACAATTATAGAGTCGCAATGTTTCAATTAATATCACATCAATGCTGACTAGAATTGTTTATTGTTTGATTAATGGCTAGTTTAATGACAATTTGTTTAAGTGAAATTTATTACAGAACGTTGCATGCATAACAAAATAAAATCGAAAGAAAGCAAATATATATTTTCTCAAAATAAATTATTGTAAATATCTTTCAATTTAATTTAATTTAGTTTTAATTTTGCTTTTCATCTCTTGTGTGGGGGAGAGTGTGATTTGTCTTGTTTGAGGGGAAAATTGGGTAAACTGCGTAAATAGCAAAAGAAATCCTGATTTTTCTGTTATTATTTGCTCAGCAATAATAACGTTGGAAAGAACAACATGCTGGGGTCATACAGTGCGTTTCGTTACAGTAGGTCAGAGTTTAAATGGGGGTTTTCTTAAATTAATGATGATGCTTAACTTTTAAAACTATAATTTGTCATCGGAATTATTTAAATAACTTGAGCATTAAAGGGTACATACCCTTTTTTAAAAAGTAAACATTTTTTAAAATTTAATAAAGGGAGAATTCTGTGATATTTTATAAGTAGTAAGAACATACTTTGGCAATTGATAAAAATATTTAAATATTTTTAATTGATAATCAACTTTTAAATGAAGTAGGAAGCTTCTTCCTTTTTTTATAGATTTCAAATCTCTTTCTGAAACCATTTCAAAACTCTGTTTACAATCACGAAACGCACTTTGATATCCTCTTAAGATCTGTGAGAGTTCAGTGTTTTCGTGTGTGAGTGTGTGTGTGTGTGTGTGCGTGTGTGTGAATTGTGTGCAAACAGAAATTCGCAATGGAATGGAAATGGGGAAACATAAACGGAAATAGGAAAGGAGTCACCCAGGATGGCCCCAGGAAACTTACCCAGATTCTCCACGGACGCATTGATGTCCCGTATGGTGCGGGTATATCTCGTGGATGCCCTCGAGGAGCCCGGCGGCTTGGATATACCGCTGCCATCGCCTCCACCCGGAGTCTGGATCGTCTGGCTCTTGTGCCGCCGGATGGTGGGCAGCCGGGCCACGAAGGATGTGTTGTGCTTGAAGCTGGACGACGCCCGTCTGGTGGATAAGAAACGCTGTGTTAGCCCTCGGTTATTTGTACATTTCAAATAGTTGGATTTTCAAACGGGGAGGGGAGTAAAGATAGAAGAGGTTATCTGGCAAAAGTAGGTAACAAGATACGACTTTTTTTTTTCACAGTTAAAGTGTGCGTGTAGCGGTGTGTGTATTTTGTGTCATTGCGCATACATACATACATACAGGGGTGAGGAGTAAAAAACATTTAAAAAAATTGGTGCTGAGGCAGAAAACAAAATTATTTTGGATTATTTCCAAACATTTAAAAGTTATAAATGAAGTGTTTTGCAAAGTCGATCCCATGCCGACTGCTCCGACACTCAAAGAAGAGCCTAAAATTGATTTATCTCATATTACTTTTCTGGTGTATAATTAGTACTATCTTAAATCATTATTTACTTGTGAGTTCTATCTGTGATTCACATGCCCTTGAGAGCTTCTCATAAACCCATTGACCTTTAGAGACTTGTTGTCTTTCTTTTGGAAATAAAAATGATACTAATAAAATAATTTGACGTTAGTAGGCTAGAATTATTAAAAAAAATAATATTTGTTTAAAAATAATACAAAATATTATAGATATTATAGATAGATATCACTTATTCTAGCACTTATTTCAATAGTAAAAGAAGAAGTTCCTTTTGAAGCATACTTTTAAGCAATTTTTTAAAGGATCTTAAATTTTGCTATTCAGAAAACAACCTAGACTTTTACAAAAACACCCCCAAACATACAGATATTGCATCATTACAAAAATTCTTTCAGATATTCGGACAATTAAACTCTATAATTATAAGTTCTGATCAATAAATAATCGGCTAATCCATTTTGAGCATCGGTATTTCAAAGAACTAGGCGACGAGGTGCTGGGGGAGGGACAATTATCATATAAGGCCGGGCGTAAAAAGGGGGTGAGTGGGTGGTGGGAAATACAAGGTGTCTTCGTTTGGCTTGGATTAACGGGGTAAAGGGAGCGAGATAGAAACAGAGAGATAAACAGAGAGAGAGAGAGGTAGAGAATCGAATAAAAAGCTTTAGACTCATTTGGCTTCATTGAACTCACGTGTTAATTATAGATTACACACACATTTATATGCATTTTTTATGAAGTTGGGTTTTTTGGATGGACGCGCGGGCAGCAGAACACACAAAATGAGAATCAATTCGTATTTCATATTGATTAGAATCGTATGTACTTCGGTCATTGAGGAGAATTTCAGAAAAAAAAAAAAAATTTTGCAAAGAATTCTTTCGAATGCGGCGGAAGACAGAGATGGATAGATCGAGGCGACAGCGAGAGAGAGACACAGAGCGAAAGATATAGATCGAGAGACTGAGGTGCTGATGGTAAAAAAGCTGCGAATTAACATTTTATTTCGATTTAAATGTGGGCGCCATATGTCTACGGATGTGGGTGCTTTTAGGGGGCTGAGAGGAGCACCCCCCGTATTTTATAGAATATGATTGGCAAATTGCTTTGAGTCTTGCTTGGCTTGATTTGAATTGCTTTTTGTTATGGTTGGTTATTCAAGGTTTACCTATATTCAGTTATGTTTTTTAATAATCGCTCCCAGTTTTCAGAACTGAAAATGTTTACAAAAATTATATTATCTATGGGAAAAAGTAAATGATATAGAACTTAAGTGGTTAATCGGGGTGGTAAAAAGAGAGACAGATAGAGAGATAGATAGAGTCGGGGGATGGGTTTGATTTGATCGATTTGATTTGATTTGATTGATCGGGCTACACTCTATGTAGATATATGCTATAGTATATCTCTAGTTCTACCTACGCTGAGTGTATTATGTTGATTAGTAGTAGTGTTCTTGTTCTGTACATAGTAAATATATATTTCAGAGTTTTCAACATTTTTTTGAGCCATGAGCTGATTTTACCAAACAGCGCCGTTCTATGCGCTTCTCAAAATTTCAAGTGGTCAGCTCATGAGCACACTAAGTTTTCAGCTTTTTTGTGTGTGTGTGTGTGCGAGTGTTTTGTGACTGTGTAAGTGTATATCGTTTCTGTACAATAGTTGGTGGCACTTCTGTTCTGCAAAACACATCCCCAAAGAGACTTAAGTATCATACAGATGGCCCGCCCACAAAATGGATCAATGGAGCCGTCGAGGATAATACTTACGAAGCCGGCGGACTGGGCAGTGCCACCTGGTGGATCTTCCATGTGGCCACCGACACGGAATGCTCGTCAGCCGCATAGCATCGCCACACGGCCTGGATGAGAGTGGCCGCCGGCTGGCGGCGCCGGATCATGTGCTTCTGGCGCTGCTGCTGTTGGACCTTCAATGCAAAACCACTGCCCAGGATGCCCTGGAAAAATAAAGAAAAATATATAATAAATTCTTAATGATATTTGAAAGTTTAACCAACAAAAAAGGTGATATAGTTGCTATTTTTTAACTAGAAGGAATTGGACTTCATCTTTACCATAAAATGCATTGGTTTAAAAATATATTTTTGATAGAATTTTATTACCTATTGTTATATTTTTTTATTTTTGTTGTTTTAGTTTAAATATACTTACCGCTGGCAGTGCAAAGAAGGAGATACCCAAAAGAGCACAACAAGAGGCAATTAGCTTGCCCTGCCAGGTGATCGGAACCATGTCTCCATACCCAACGGTGCAAAGGGTAATCTACAGTCAGAAAGAGTTCAATGTTTGTTTCATTTATTAATTTATTATTTAATAAAGAATTTACGACTTACCACACCCCACCAAAGGGCCTGGGCGAAATTGCTAAACTTGTCATTGACGTCCTTCTCCCACATGTAGACTAGGAATGATGCAAAGATTAGACCTAAGAATCCTATGTACATGGTTGTGATCAGCTCCTAAAAAAATAAATAAAATAGGATGTTTGTAAAGGAAATATAGTTTATATACTATATAATTATTAAAGGGTTTATTATTTAATGATATTGTGTGTTGTTTTATTTTAAAAGTCCCATTTATCACCTCTTTGATATAATATAAAATGTTTATTAACAATAACTCAATGTTAATTGGTAAGATAATTAATAAATAAAGATAATAACAAGAAAAAACTTGATATTTGACACTCCCTAACCAATAAATAAACCAATGTTTCTCCCAATGTTAAAAGTTTACATTTGGAATTTAATTTAAATGAAATTGGTTCTTACAGTAGTTTTTAAGACCGGAGTCTCCAGAATTCCTTTAATTGTATCCTCATTTCTAATATATTTATTAACTTTTGATAGTAAATTCTTCACAAAATACTTTTCTTAACCCCCTTTAAATTAAATAAATTAAAAAGATTTATGAACTCACCTGTCTGTGTGCGTATACAACCGAGCCGAGCAGCTTCCAGGTGCCGCCCCGTCGATCCATGCGCACCATCCGAAGGATCTGAAAGAACCGGAGGCCACGCAGGGCACTCGTGGCGAACACCTGGCCGGAGGTGCCCATGCCTAATACTACAATTGAGGCTAAAATGGTGATAATATCTGAAAAAGCCAATGCTAATTAGCATTATCCTCGATTTATCCTTCTTTTAAATTTACCTATAATACAGAATGGTCGCTTCACGAACTTCAGCCGCCCCAGGCAGCCTTGGTAACGCGATCGGCAGCCCGACGACCACAGACGAGCTCCGAACTCCATGGTGAACCAGATGACCACCAGGATCTCCATGCGGAACAGGATATACACTGCGTCGTCCTCGTACTCCTTGATGGTGGAAAACACGCTCAGGGCCAGGCATGTGAACACCATCAGGAATCTGTTAAAAATTATTTATATATATTTAGGAAATGTATAAATAATAGTTTTAAAATAATTTTTAACAGATCTCTGAATACTAGAAAATTTCTATAAATTACTTTTGGTAGGTAATTAAGTTCGGGTTAATATTGCTTTATAAGAATATGTTTTGAAACTTATTTTTGCTTGTAAAATTAAGATAGAAAGCTTGTCCTTGGTTTTTAGAAATTTGTTACTTTAGAATATCTTTGAATTTTAAATTGGAAGCCTACATTTGGATTATACTTACACCATCACATGGTAGAAGATGGCATGCAGGCCGCGCGGCCTCTCCAGGAAGTTGTAGAGGCGACTCTGGAGGCGCCGATAGCGAACATCGCGGCGGGTGCCGCGATTGTAGTTCAGCGGCTTCCCTAGGAGTGACATTCGCGGTTGCAGGATACGTTCCGAGTTCAGCCTGCCCGGTCTACATTTCCTGTAATCCACACATACAGAGAGGGTGAAAGTTACATTAGTTTCTAATCCTCTGCTAAGCACGAGTCAAGTACGAGTTAAGTAAGAAGTATTGGTACCCCTTGTACCCCTGATATCGTAGAAGGCATATATATCATTGTCCGGATCCATTCTGATCTCATTCCAGACCGGCAAACTCGCGGAAAAATCTCGGTTAAAATGTAAATGACACTTGGGGACACGTCTGGTTCGAACGGCGCTTGAACCGCAACTCGATCGACGCCTGAGCGTTGGCCGGTTAAAAAACCTTCCCTAACAACTCGACTTTCAAAAAACCCCATGTGTAAATTTTATTAATTATCTACATAAACAGTTTTTTTTCCTCTTTTCGTTCCACACACCTTGCATTTTTACGACAAGCCATCGTTGCCCGACGTCTACGTAGACCTCTATTTGATTTTATTTTGATACCGCCCCGAAATATGTTTGTGTGGGTCCAAAGCGGGAGTATACATATATTGCACCTCGTCATCATCAACAACACAAAAGTGTCATAAAAATTGGCGTATTTTAGCGACGTTTTCGTTTTGGTTCTCCACCGCCACTGTGGGCGGGTCAGGCTCTTTAGTCACGATCTCCCCGACTTTGTCTTTGCCCAACGTGTCGTATACGGATCGTACGTCATTAACATTAGCCCCCTTTTTGGCCACTTGCCGTACCCCACAAAATGGCCAGAAAAATGGGGCTAGTGAGGGTGTGCTGGAAAATTACCAATCGCTGAACGATGATGGGAGCAGGGTTCTACACACTTCAGTTTACAAATTGCTAAATTACATTTGGCATGCCTTGAAAAACAAACGTTTCTCAGTGTGATATCTCTCAGGCTGCCTGCCTGAGTTAGCTTAGAGAAGAAGGTAAAGTAAGAGATACTTTAAATAAATAAAAATAAATTATATATTTATTTACAAAATAAAGTTGCATTTTCTTCATTATCTAAATTATTTATTTAAATTTTATTTACATATACAAATACTATTTCTTAGGAGCCAATGAACTCAATGAAGTTATATTATACATACGTGTGTACTTTAGAAATCCATAAAGTTCTTAAATAAGATTTTTTGTAAGTACTGAAATCTTTGTTTTTTATTCTTTAGCATCATTTTAGACACTTTTTTAAGAGTTTTATGAACCCTACCTATTTCTGTTACTCATTTTTAGTGTATAATGTGATTGAGTTAAGCAGCTCTTATAATAAATATTTTGTAAACATTAGTACAAGTAGTTTTAGGTAGTGATTAGATAGTAATTTATTTTCGAAATAGCTCATAGTGTTTCTCTTTTTAAATTTATACTTTTTCAGACGTTATCATAATATTAGTCAGTGAAGGAGACATTTCCGACCCTATAAATTATATATATTCTTGATCAGCATCAACAGGCGAATCTTCCTAGCTATGTCGGGAGAAAAGAAAAAATTTTTTAAATTTTTTCAAAATTTTATAATTTTACATCATTAAAATTGTCAAAAATTGACAAAAATTTTAAATTAAAAAAATATTAAAATCAGAATGCAGATTTCTTAACAATCTAAAAACTAGCACAGAAAAGCTTTCCGAGTTCAAATAAAGTTAATTTTGACTTAGTTATGGTTTTTTTAAACTTTGATATGTCTTTAAAACTATCAAATAATAATTAGTAATTATTTCCAGCATATTTTTAAGTCCTTAGATATTTTTATTTTGATTTTCAAAGCGATTTCAGTTAAAAGACATTAATAAATGTATATTTTGATGTGGTTTCTAAATAATTTGTATGCAAATACAAACCCAGTTTGATCAAATTTTTTTTGTGGATTAAAAACTGGCACCCGATAATGTATTTACTTATTTTTGTTGCAAATTTGAATGAATTTTGTTGTAAATTTTAATGTATTTTAAAAACAAGACTTCTTTATTAATTTTTTATTAAAGCATTTTAATGATTATTGCGAAGAGCTTAATAAAACAAAGAAATTGCAAATAAGAAATGAGTTGTATGGGCTCATCTCTGATTTATTTTACAAATTGAAACCAATTAGATTTGAATCAGTGAAAATAACATCATCATAGATGAGAGTCATTGGCAATTATCATGATTTCACTGGCTACGCTCCACAGAGAACTACAAAGATATATATTTGTCTATATGCTAAATGGACAAACAGCCATCATAAGCAGTTATTACTCTGCTAATTTTATGTGGGAAGTGGGAGAGCCAGTTCTTAGATTATATGTGTTTTTTTTGCTCCCAACAAACGAACAACTTTTCAAAGCTTTTCAGGCAAAGTAATTGAAGTGTCGAAGTCGGTTATCGACACAGACATCGATATAGTCGCCAGACCGCCAGTCAGCCAGTTCTCTTGGAAAGCTTTCCATGGATCCGGAGAGCACCTCCGCTTGTGTTGGTTTTGTTTTGGTTTCACCAGCGCGGGATCATGAGTCATTCCAATATCTTATCTTCCAGCCTTTCCCCCCGCCTGGGATCCAGACCCCACTGAAAAGTGCTGCCCATCAGGTGCCATTAAATCACTTTACGAGATTGGTAAATTTTAAAATTTCCTTTTAATGCTTCCTCGCTGGTTGCTTTGTGAGTGTTTTTCTTTGAGTAAGTGTATATGTGGCTTAGGTTAGGCAGTAATTAAAATATATGTACGATGTGGGTGCGCAATGCTCGCTTGGCCGTCTCAGAACGTATTTACACAGTATTAGGTCGCAGGGCAAAACGGAAACGCATTAACAGTAGAAATAAAAATACGTTAAGTATAAATGTTTCGTGTACAAGATCACAAGTTGTAGCACCGCCCGAAGCGGGATGTAGGTTTCCCCCCACAATTCATAAGATCTTGGGGTGTTCCGCTCCCCGTTCACTTCTTGGCATCGATGATGATCTCGTCGCCCGACTGCAGGTTGTAGCTGTAGAGCTGCTTGTTGGGGTATCGCATCTCCTCGGGGCCGAACTCCTTGTAGTCCTGGTCCAGGTAGAAGAGGCGCATCTTGTTGGGCGCCAGACCCACCAGCTTCTCCAGCTTGGCCTTCAGGTCGTTGACGGTCAGGTAGATGTCCACAAAGCGGCTCTCGCTCACATCGTTGTACGTGAAGACGACCTTGACCCGCTTGTCCGGCTTCAGGCTGACATTCACCAGGGGATCCAGCTTGCCATGGACCTGCAGCAGCTCCTCGTAGCGTCCGGGTCGCTCCTCATCGGGCTTGTCCATATAATACCGCACAAAGGCCCGCTCGGCATCTATCCGCTCGTCGGTGCTGATCTTGCCGCCGCCATTAAGCATCTCCACATTGGGCAACCGGGCGATGAGGAGCTGCCTCCGCTCGTGTTCCGTGCACTCCAGACTCTCCCAGAGGGGCCAGTGCTTCACACGGAGATTGCGCAGCTGCCCGAACTTGGCCAACTGGTCGATGGCACTCCAGCTGTTGAGCTGCGCCGAACTGAGGTTGAGCAGCCTCAGGCTGGGGAAGTATATGTGGGTATCCTCCTTGCACTCCTCGGCCTGCAGGGATCGGATGGGACAGTCGGCCAGGACCAGGGCTTCCAGGTTTGGAAACAACCGGCCCAGGCGACAGATCTCCTGCCAATGCTCGACGGGATTACCCGTGAAATGCAGTGTCTTGAGGGCTGGATGGGCTTTGGTGATTCTCCGTTCCGTTTCCTCTGGCGTTTCCGTTGCCTGCAGTCGCTGCTCCGCCTCCTCGGCATCGATCAGCACCTGCTTGTAGTTGTTCAGGCTGAGATGCAGTTCCTGGAGCACCGGCAGGTTCTGGAGCAGCGCATCCACGCATGCCCAGTCCAGATATGTGCCATTCAGCACCAGACTCTTCAGGTTCACCGTGGGAGCGGTGGAGGGCAAGGCACTGATTGGGCTGGCCAGCTGGTTCTTGCTCAGATTGAGGAACTCGATGCGCGGCATGTGCTCCAGTATGCTGAACACCTCCGCCCAGTCGCTGAGCTTGTTCTGAGCGAGATCCAGTTCCCTCACCCGCTGGCACTTATCCCGGATGCTCTCGAAGTCGCCAGCCGAGTCGATGTCGCAGTCGTTGAGCACCAGCAGAGCCGGGACACTGGTGAGGGGCGAGAGGCGGGGTATAAAGATGGAGAACTCCATGCGGCCGCCGCACTTGGTCACCGTAAAGTCATTGGGCAGATCGCTCCGCTTGTGCAGTTCCGGCTGGTGGGCATTCTCGAACTCACATTCGGCGAAGTACTTGCGCTCCAGCGCCTCCAAAAGGGAAGGCATGATCCTGGTCCGGGTCCTGGTCTCGTTATGGTTCCTCTTTTCTCCGTTTCCTGCTCCCAAAGGTGGCAATTTAGTCCGGGGTTCTATTGATTTTCCCCACTCTCTCAGGCATAGACTTTTCTAGTTTCGTGTTCTGTGATGCAATTTCTTTTTTTTGTTTTTTCAGTTTTGCGCAGTTGCAGTCTTCATTGATTTTTAAACAAATTATTGCGCACGTTTCGAGTTCGTTGTTTTTGCTGTTGATGTTGTTAATATTGCGCACTAATTCAATTCGTTTTTTACGTGCTCCGATGTTCACAAAAAAAGAGTCGTAACAAAGAAACCAAAGTGCGTCCGCTGGTCTCGGCTTATTCTGCGTCTCTCTCCTGAGCCAGCTTAGATGCGTTTTCCCTTTGTTTGTTGATTGGTTGATTTGTTGTTGTTGTTGTTGCTGCTGCTTAACCTTTGTCGCAGTGGCTGCTTTTCCACTTTTCCACTTTTCCTCTTTTCCACGCTTCCACATAAAACGCTCTCCGTCCGCTCGCAGTGCCACCAAACGCTCAACTAACCACCGAGAACGCGCGAACTCCGCATCGGTCGGTCGGTGGCATGGAATGGAATGGTATTATAGCGACTATATAGACTCTATATGTCTTACATGAGACCGAAGCGCACTGTATGGGTGAGTGAGTCGTGCTCGGACTGGGGGACTCTCGGATTCGTATTCCGACTCGGATTCTGGCCTGTTTAGTGCTTTTTCTGTGTAGGTCGCTCGACATGCGCACAGGAGCGGTTCGCGTCACTGGCCGGGAGGCGGCTGGTGGTGGGCTACCAGCGAATTTTAAAGCACTGAGGACGATGAGAATGTCCTCTATAAAGGTACAATTTTATGCCCATAGGTTCTTGCCCTAAGACA